CCCAAGCCAACTCTTAACCAACTGAGCCACTCAGCCGGCCCCCCACAAATCTTTTTGAGATACACCCTTCTCCATGTGGGGCTTCTGCAGACAGCTGAGAGACAATACAGCTAAGTGTCCTAGGAGCACCATCCTTTGATTGACAGGGTCTGTGAGTGTCTTAGTCCATTTGGGCTGCTATAACCGAATACCACAGACTGGGCAGTTTACACACAGAAATTTATTTTTCACAGTTCTGGAGGCTGGAAGTCTGAGGTCAGGGCGCCAGTGTGGTTGGGTGAGGGCCATCTTCTGGGCAGCAGACTTCTTGTATCTTCACGTGGTGAAAAAGACCAGGGAGCTGTGTGGGTTTTGTTTTTGTTTTTTTATAAAATCTCTAATCCTATTCAGGGGTGTTCCATCCTCATGACCTAACCACATCCCCAAAGTCCCCATGCCCTAAAACCATCACACTGGAGATTAGAATTTGAACATAGAAATTTGGAGGGACACAAACATTCAGAGCAGGGCAGTGAGACACACCTCTAATCTCCTCAGAGGCCCTTTTGTCTGACTGAATAATACTCTGGGGTACCACCTCATATCTTTCTGAATCTCTTAAAAATGATTTTACAGGCACACTCTAGGATTTAACTCTGGACCACCATTTTTCTGGCAGGGCCCTGTATTTGATCTTTGCTTGGAAGCCATTCCTTAATTCTAGCGTAATTTGCCATCTGGAAAGACTGAGAATTTTCAAAACCCTCCAGTTGTAACTTCTTTCTGGCCAATGGCCCTTCCTTTCATGTGTCTCTCTCCTCTAGCATCTTAGAGAATGCTAAGCAATTAGAAGAAACGAGGCAGCACTTTCAACACCCTGACCCCAATCTCCTTAACCAGATCACGTGTCCATAGGTCCGTTTCCTTCTGTCCACATAACCGCAGGCAGCAGCGTTACCGGGGTCCCCTTACTTTGGCTCTTAATAGCACTTGCCTCACTTTCCTGCAAGCTCTTACCTGAATCTTTAAAGACCTTGACTCTTTTATTAACATTTTATTCAAGGCGCTTCATGCTTTCATTCACACTCTCAATGATGCCACTGTCCACTTTCAAAGTCATTCCCACATTTTAGGTTTTTTGGTCACAGAGCACCCCACTTGCAAGCACCAAAATGTGTATTCACTATCTATTGCTATGTAACAATGTAGCCTCAAATTTAGCAGCTTAAAACAATAGAAATTAGTATCTTGCACAGTTTCTGAGGGTCAGGAATCTGAAAGTGACTCAGCCAGGTGGTTCTGGCCCAGAGTCTCTCAGGAGGTTACCATCAAGATGTAGGCTGGGGTTGCAGTCATCTGTAACTTGCCTGGGGCTATAGGATCCTTGTCCATGATGGCCCAGCCCAGGCACATGGCTGTAGGTCTGAGACTTTCTTTGCCCCATGGACCTCTCCATGGTGCTACTCACAACATGGCAGCTCACTTTCCCCAGAGCAAGTGATGAGAGGGAGGGAGGGAGAGAGAGAGAGAGAGAGAGAGAGAGAGAGAGAGAGAGAGAGAGAGAGAGAATGCAAGATGGAAGCCATAGTGTCTTTCATAACCTAACAGCAGAAGAGACATACCATCACCATTTCTGGATTCTACTGGCCACACAGACCAACCCTGGGACAATGTGTGTGTGTGGGGGATTACACAAGGGTATGAATTCTCAGAGGCAGGAGTCATCTTGGAGGCTGACGACCACAAAACTATTTAGCAGTAAAATGTCATGTTGTCTATAATTTACGTACTTCAGCAAAAAAGGAAGTTGATGAAACAAATTTAGCAAAGTATTAACAATGATTATATCTAGGTCTGGGGTATGTAGAAGTTCTTTCTACTTTTCTATATATTTGTGACTCTTCATAATAAAAAGTTTAAAAAGGTCATTTCGGCTTTCTGTCTGTCTGGAGGTGGTGGCTTATTGGTTCAAGAATCTTCTAGAAACCAGCTACTTTCTTTTCTACCCAGCCCCTGACCTGTCTTCACCAGGAAAGCCTGTCCTGCACACAAGACTCAGTACGACCTATGACCTAGACCTACCTCAGTACGACCAGGTTGCATTCAAGGTCTGGGGGTTGAGTCAGCAACATGCCCCATAAATGGTAACAGATGAACTGGATTCAGTTTCTCCCTCAGGTATTATTTTGAGATGTTCTGAAGCACACCAGCACTTTTTCTGATTTTGATCCAAAATTTCTTTAGAGGAGCAGTTCCATGGAATACTTTCCCTGACCTTGCCTTCCAGGTCAGTGCGAAATCACAGTGTGAACCACAGTCAGCAGTTTTGTTTAACTTCGCCTTTGCTCTGTTTGTTAATTCAGCTTGGGCTCACTCAGCCCCTGGAATGTAGTTCCTTATTTCATAATGAAAAATCAAACAACTTTGGAGGGATAACCAGCTGTGATTGCTGAGTCATAGCTCTTAAGCGTATTAAGGAACACCATGAAATCCTGGCGTTCCTTAACACTAAGAGTTTCTATAAGAATGTAACTTTACATAATTTTTTTTTAAGCCTGGGTTAAATATTAACTTGTGTGTGATAAATTTTCCAGAGGAGTTTGGAACTAAAACTGGCGAAGCTGCAAAACTGCCATTTTCAGTGTTGCAAGCAATCTGTATGTTTTAGGATAGAAACAAGAATTTATGTTTAGGACTGGTCCTTGGTTTTCTCTGGGTAATAACACTCTGGTGACTTCTTTTAATTATTCAGATGTAAAACAAAAACAAAAACAAACAAAAAAAAACACCTACCCATTATTTTGGAAAAATCTGAAGGCAGCAAAATTATTTGATTGCAGATGTTTCAGAGTGGGATGTGAAGGGATTTGTCAGATGGTAAAACCTGTATCTCCCCAGGACAACACCTCTGCAGTGGGGAAGGCTGCAGAGCACCCACTATGGTGCGATGGTTTGGTAATGTGCTCACTTGGTTAGGCTGAGTTATTTTCCCCAGAATTCCCTTTTCTTGTATGTTTCCAGTTTGTGTGAGCTACAAGGAATAGTCCATCCTGAGAGTTGTATAATACCTGCCCTCCCTCAGCTGGGCCTTTCTTGCTGAATCTATAACCTAAAATCATGGAAGGTTGACATTGACATGTCCTGTACAGATTATCTCGTTCAATGGAGTCTTAAACTTGGTCCATCATAAGAGTCATCTGGGGAGCTTTTTTGAAATACAGATTCCACAGTGCCACCCTGAAGGCTCTGGTTCAGCTGGTCTGAGCCCAGGACACCTGAATCTTACAAGATCCCTAGGTGTTTTGATGATCAGCCAGGTGGGTCTGCTAGTCACTGTGATTCTGGTCCAGTGGTTCTCAAAGTGTGGTCCTTGGACCACGAGCATCAGCGTAATCACCTGGAATCTTAACAGACATGCAGATCCCTGACGTCCACCCTGGACGTCCTGGACCAGAGACTGTGATCGGGGCCCTGCACGCTGTGGTTTAACAAGCCCTCCAGGGGACTCTGATGTATGCTAAAGTTTGAGAACGAAATCTCTTCTACTCCTTCATTTTACAGTTAAGGAAACGGAATTCAAAAAGAAGGGACATGTCTTGGGGTTAACGAAAATTGATGGGGAGAGGCACCCACTCATCGGGCTTTGGTGGTTTTTTTTGGGGGGTGGCAAGGGGAACACTCACAGCTGGCATTTCAGAGGTGTGTTCATGGGGCTGCACAAGAACAAGGGCAGGGCTGGCTGAACCTGTCACTAACGAAGTCCCAGGCCTGGGGCGTGACCACCCACCATGACACGCCCAGGTAGGAAGTAATGCTCAGATCTCTGGGTGAGGTACTTTCCCTAGAACCCCTTTTTTCATCCACAGAAGCATCTAAATTAATAAGTTTCTACCGCTGGGGTCCTAAGTTTTTTTTTATTTTTTATTTAATTCTTGTGGCATCAGAAAGTTGCTATTCCTTTTCCTGCTGTCACTTATTTTCCTAATCACATTTCTTCTTATTTTCTTTTGTGGCCAATTGAATTTGTTATGTGGATGAAAAAGGGACCATATACTAAACCTCACAAGCTCAGGAAAGGCCTGCATGGAAGGCGTTACACACTCAGAGACTGAAAGTCATCACAGAAGATGGTCTAAATATAAAAATTCCGAACTAAGAGCGGGTCATGGCGGGTAATTGTGTCCTAGGCCTGTAGCTTCCTTGACAAAGGTCTATCTTTAGTTTAGTGCGCCTGTCTGGTCTACTGTCTTTTTGCATCTAAGATAGATGCCAATGTCTTTGAAATGTCAGAGTCATCTCCTTTACCAGACCCCTCAAGGCGCAACTGCTGGCACCAGAGCATGAGACCACAGAACCTCTCATTGTTATCTTGTTCCCTGAATTCCATCTCTACGTGTTGTAAATGTTAATTATTAACTATCCTGTACCCACAAATGTAAAAGGAAGCATATATCTCTCCACTTTCCTTTTATCCAACCCCAGAGGTTCCCACCCCACTTTGCTTTCTCTGGCCCCCTTAAATCTACCACCAACGGATTTCATGTAACTCCCTTCTTACATCTCCCCCTTTGAGTCTGATGTATAAAATGAGCTGCAAGACTGCCATCCTCCTGGAGCATTTTGTCACTCCGTTGAGATTTTTGCTTCTCACAATTGTCCTCAGTTTGGCTCAAATATTCTCATCAAGATTCTCTACAGGTTTGGGCAGTTTCTTACCTCAATAGTTATCACAACCTTAGATGTCCAGACAAAATATGGAGTGGAGATGGGGTGGGGGCGGACACTATGATTATGTAATAATTTGTTTTTAAGAATAGCTTGGCTTTGATTTACAACAAAGGAGTTACATGTCTTAGGAGCCAGGCATACATGTGCGTTTCTCAGATCGGCTGTCTTCCTTCTCCAAGCCTCCTTCCGTCCGTCTCTTCCCCCCCTCTCAGCCCTGGCGCCCGGCCTCTCCCCCCTCCCTTTCCCCCCTCCCCCCTCCCCTGGCCCGCCTTCCCGGGAGGCTGGGAATCCCGGACTGCCACTGGCCCACGGGGATCCGCTGCGCTCCGTCACCGCGTCCACTTCCGTCCGGAGAGGAGGCGCCTTGCACTCGGCTCGCCCCGGACGGTCGCCCTGCGGGTGTCGCCCCCTCCGCGCGCGTGGACCGTAGACCGCAGTCTCCCGGCGGCTGACGAGGTACGTGCGCTCCCCCAGCACAGAAACGCGGCGGAGCCCCGCTCGGCTCTGACTCGCGCGGGTGTTTGCATGAGGCAAGGAAGGTCTTTGCCATGTGCACAGGTAGTGAGCCTGTCGACGCCCATTTTCAAAACCTGACTTACCAGAGCAGTACATTGTCTTTGCAGAAAAGCAACCCCCACCAGCCCCCCTGGGCATATTTTCCTGGATTGCATAGCCACACATTTAAAAAACATACTCGAGATCATACTGTATGTAAACCTGTGTTCGCTTTTTTCTTTTTCCCATGTAACACTATATCAGAAGGCTTTCTCCTTCCTGCCATTAAATACTCTTTGTAACTGTTTTTCTACAGTTAAACATTTTGGTTGTATAGTTTTTACTACTAATGTAAAACTATGGGGGGAAAGTGAGCATACTTGCATTTTTTAGAGGATGGATATTAGAGGAGGTCCTGGGTCTAGGAGTGTGACTTTCTAGATGCTGAGTACCTGTTGCCAAGAAAGACGGCACAGTACACACCCACAGCCATGTGGGTCGGGTGGCAGAGGTGTCGCCTTGCCCAGGCCCTGCTCACATTGGGCACTGCCATTTAGGTTTCTTGCTGATGGAAAATGCCACCTGTTGTTTTCTAAGCCCATTTAAAACACGGTGGTCAGCCGTGAGCCCTGTGGATATCTGGGGAAATCCTATCTAGGCGTGGAACCACCCAGGAAAAGGTCAAAGGCAGCCACGTGATTGGCGTGTTCACAGGCCACTGTGTGCTCTTCACTTCTAGCTTTCTATTTAATGCTGTCTGGACCATGTGCCCCACAGAGAATACAAGCACGATTGCTGAAAAGTAAGCGAGTGGAGGAGTTCACGTTCATAGAATCATCTAGGGGGACGCAGGGCCCTGGCTTCCCCGTTGCAAGAGTGAGATTCGTGGCCATGCGCGTTCCTACAATGTTCACCCAGTAAAAACAAAAAAACCACCGAGCCTTCCCATAGCCGCCGCCTTCCTGTATTATCTTTCAGTGTGTCTGTTGTTGTGCTTGCAGATGGTTTCCATTTCTAATCTCTGAAGCTTCCAGAAATTTATTGCTAGGCTTCTTTGCTTGTTACAACCCCATTTGCCCCAATTCCCTTTGCTCTTCAAAATCTGTTTTCTTTATTTCTGGTGGAAAGCTTTATTGCACTGGGAAGTCTGACTTCTGAGTCAGACTTCTTCAAATCCTTGGGGGTGTGAAAGCAGGACCCCCCCCCCACACCACCCTTTACCACCCACTGCTTGCCTTTCTGACTTCTAGTGAGAAAAAGGGGAATGCTGTTCAATTTTACTGTTGAAAGACAACTTTCAGCGAAAGGCAAAATCGTGACTCTCCTACAGATATAAAATTGAACACGTGTTAAAGTTTCAAAAAAGTTCCTGTTTTATTCATTAAAGAGGGAACCAAGCAGATGTTATAATCGGTTCAAAAAAGAAGTCAAGAAGCACAAATTTATACGGAGTAAAGGAATGCCCTAGGAAGGGGCACCTTAGGACAGGAGCCAGGACCCGGCGGCCTCCCGGGATTTGCAGGTCCGACACGCACCAGTGAGTCCCATGGGTCTTGACTTGTAATTTCATGGAGGCACTTGCTGTGTGAAGCAGGGCTGGAGGGTGTTCAGGAACAAATGATTCATCCATGACACTCGTTAAAAAACAGCAGGGCAGACCTCATTCGGGACCTTCCATAGGTGTAGGGACGACTGCAATGGGATTTTTCAGTAGAGAGATTGGGCTCGACCCTGAATACAACAAGGAAAAGTGGGGACTTACGGCTGAGGAGCAGAGTAGGGATCAGTGGATGGAAAATTACTAAGAGGAAGCATTCGGGACCTGGGAATCCCACTAAACCAACCTAACAGGATTTTGGCAGAAGACACAGCAGGGCCATCAGTCATCGGCTGGGGGATGGCAGAGGGTGAGGAACGGGATCAGGCATGGAGAGTGAGGGCTTTTGCTAAATTCACTTAGCAGGCTTTTCACTAAAACTGGACAATGAGAGATGAACTTGGAAGTGCAGAAGTCAGGGCCTAATTGAGAAGAGAGCTCAGAGGAGTCTGGTCAAGGAGAGAATCTTCATCCAGGGACCATACGAGTCAGTCTGCAGGGGAGTGGGCCCCTCGATCATCCCTACATGTGTGGCATCTTGCATGAATGTTATGGGGGAGTAATGAATGTTCTGGAGGCTGCGTTTGGTGTGTCGTTGCCAAAAAATGTGCCCATCAGGGCATCCTCTGCCGGAGCATGTCTTGGTCATCCCTGGTGCCGTAAGGAGGACCCTGACTTCCAGAGGCTTCAGCAGTGGCTACCCCAGATCTGATCTCAGGATGGCTGGAACGTGTTGCCAAACCCATGTGCCGTGATACAGAGAAGCTATCCTGGGCACATATTTTATGAGGACTCCACCTTACATGTCAGGCCCACAGTCCCATCCCCTTCTATGAGGACCCTGAAACCGTATCACTCACAACGAAGGACCCTATAACGTCATGTAGAAGGAACTTCTACTTTTCAGTGGGAAAGTAATCATCGCCCATAGCACGCCCTTCTGTGATGTCTGATTCTAGCCCTGTTCATTGTATTTGAGCTATTTGGCACCCCTTTGAAAGACCAGGGTAACTGATAGACTTGTAAATTCTCTCCTGTCTGGTAGTGAATTAATTGGCTTTCTCCCCTCGCCTGGAAACATCAGTTTTGTCTCTATTTGCAATTTATCTCACTATTCCTTTACTGCATATAAATTTGTGCTCTTTTCTTTTTTCCTTCGAACCAGTTACAACATCTGTCTCGTTCCCTCTTCTCATCTGAGTAAAATAAAATCCTTCACGTGTTCATTTTTATATCTGTATGCAGTCCATAGCCACTGTCTGCTGTGCTCACCGTGGCGTTGGCCCAGGGCATACAGGCGAAGGTCTGGCAGGAGCCCAGCCTTCCACATGCAGCATACGCAGGCCTCTCCTGGCCGCCACCCGCTTCTTGCAGGAGAATAACCTTGCAGGGTCAGTCCAGGGTGTACGTCTCCGGACTGGAAACATTCCTTCTGGAAAGTGGATATCAATACAAGTTTCAGAGACAAGGCTGCTTTGGGATGGCCAGGATTTTCTGTGGTCTCTGCGTGGTCGTAGGATAGCCCACGGAAGACATCAGCGCAAGACTCAGCTCTCAGCAACAGTGCAGTGGGGTATGAAATTCACAGCTATTGACACTGGATTGTCCTGACTTCTCTTACTAATCATCGTTCTCTAATGTAGCTTATGAAAACAAAACCATGAAAGAGTCAAGTTTTCTTTGATCCAATTAATTTCTCTCTCCTTAAAGTTTAGTTATTTTATTTCTAGTTATGAACATTTAGAATGTTCTAGTAAGTACACGATATGATACAGCAGGCACCCATATTCACATGACCCAGATTTAAAAGAAATTAATATTTTGTCCTATGTGCTTCAAATCCAAACTTTTTAAGGAATTGAAATGTAACAAATACAATTAAAGCCAGCAATCTCCATCCCTTCCCCCCAGCCAATAACCACTGTCTAATGGTGGTAAGTTTTAGTTCCTTGAGTTATACTTTTATTACTTCCCTATATTTAATAAAAATTTATTTTTTTGTGTGTTTTAGTATTTACTTAACATCAGAAAAGCTATTGTTTTTTTATAGCATTATGTTTTTGAGGTTTATGATATTGATAAATACGTATAGTTTGTTCACTGACCTGCTATGCGGTATTCCTTTTATGAGTTTATTTATTTCCTAGGGCTGCCAAAACCAATTACCACAATCTGGGTGACTTAAGACAACACAAATTTATCCTCTCACAGTTTGGGAGGCCTGAAGTCTTAAATGAAGGTGTTGGCGGGCCATGTTCTTCCTGAAACGACAGGATAATCCTAGCTTCTGGGAAACTCCTTGCCTCCCACTAGCTTTTGGAGGCTGCTGGCAATCTCAACTTCTTTGATCTGCATCACTCCAGCCCCTGCCTCTGTTTCCACATGGCCTTCTCTCCTGGTTGTCTGTCTCTGTATCTAAATTTCCCTCTTAAGACAGCAGTCATAATTAGATTAGCACCCACCCTTACCCAGGATGACCTCATCTGAACTTGATTACCACTCTGAAGACATTATTTCTTGAACTGTCTCGGGGGTGGGGGGACGACGGGACAGATTCCAAGCCCACAACAATGAATGAATCCCAGTTCATCCCATTCTCCTCCTGATGGGCAATTAGATTGCTTCCAGTCGTTGCCATCACATCTGCGCAACCAAGAGCATCACTTACACACACACACACACACACACACACACACACACACACACACACACACACACGTGATTTTTCATTAGTGGGCTTTATGGGTTGCAGGTGTTACTGGTGCCCTGGGTTCTTGCCATCTCCCACGATGGAAATCAAGAGAGAGCACCACAAGAAACTTCTGGCAAGAGGCAGATTTATTAAGCTTGTGCACAGGGGAACCGACACCGAGAAAGGACAGGTTTGGGTGGCTCCTCGAAAGCTGGGGCAGGGCTGTAAAGGGAGCCGGGCGGGGTGAAAGCTACGATAGTCCGGTCAGGGCAGGTTTCTTGGCGCCTGCGCAGTGCGGCTACGTGCTTCTTCAAGAATCGCAGGTCTCAGCAAGGTAAGTCTCCACCCTGGGCGTGATTTTTTAGTATTTAAATTAGGGAAGGTCACCTGAGGGACACTCTTGGGCCTTCCTGCACATGTGTGGTGATAGGGAAAGTCTCTTGTTGCTGGGACGCAGATCTTTGTGGCTTGTCTCCCAAGGTTCCTTGATGCCCATTGGTGGCGCCCTAGGGCGGATATTCTTGTGAAACTTATCAGGGTCCAGCAGCTGACCTTTCCCAGTAACTCAACCGGAGGAAGTGGCCCTCCTGTCTCTCAGGGTGTCGTCATCATTGCTACACATCTTCCCAGAGCTTCCATCAGTTTCCCCTACAGGGGCACCATCGCTTGGTGTTATCAGACTCATTGCCAGTCTGCAAGATAGAAAACGGTATCTCGTTGTTGTTCTTTGTCTAATTTCCTTTAATACCAGCGACCTTTGGTGAACTGCCTGTTCATGACTTGGGAGCCTTTTTCTATCGGGGTAGTCTTTTCCTTCCTGATTTATAAGATTTCTTCATATACTTTACCTAGGTATGAAATCTGCTTTGAGAATAATATCTTCTCCTAGTCTGTATCTTCTTGCTTTGTTTCTGGCGCCTTTTATCTTACAGTTTTTAAAATTTTAATACAAATATAAAAGTTTTTTGTTGTGGAAAATCGTAAGCACGTGTACAAGCAGAGAGACCAGTTAAGTACAGGACACCCCTGAACCCACCCCCCCAGTGCCAACATTGTGACCCACGCACACCCTTCTCCCACCTCTGCCACCCACTGGGATATTTTAAAGCAAATCTGAGACATCTGGTCATTTTTCTGTACATACATCTTTGGGTTCAGTGGTCCCAGGTTCTCTTTTCCGACTGCCCTTCGACTTTTAAAAATTCAATTTGAAAATCTGTCTCCAGTAGTGGATTTAATCTACTTATATTTATTTGCATCTATTTCAGCCACGTTAAATCTCACTTTGGAGCTAATAGGTTTTAATTTTTTTCCCTCTCCTGTCCTGCCTTCTGTTTGTTGGGTCAAGCTTGTTAGGCCCCTCCCTCACTTGTACACCCACTGTCACCACCGTGTCTCCTGATCATTGTTTACTTGGAGCGCTTCTTCCTTATAGTGCTCCAGTGTGAGTTCCTCTACAATGCGCAGTGGTTTTTTGGGCTGGGTTGTGAAAGTCTTGCTAAAAAGCAGTTTTACATTTGTTTCTGCCAGGTGCCCAGGGCCAATTGTTATATTAATTTCTCAGCCCAGGTTGTCCTACTTGGAAAGGACAGTGTCAGTTTGGGTGTTGGTTTCTTATTTCCCTTCCTGGGTGTCATTGCCATGTTCCTACTCCTGGTTGGTTCGCTCCTCCCTCCCTTCCTTCCTTCCTTCTTTCCTCCCTTGCTTCCTGTTGTCATTTTTCGTTTTTTTTTTATTTCCCCCACTAAATATGAACCTTTGAGGGCTCTGACATTGCATGGGGAGGTCTCAGCTACAAATCTCGTCTCACGGGGCCCGAGGCCTCACTGGTTCCCCACAGGCTCCTAAGCACTGGTGTGTCAGGGCCTGGTGCTGGGTCTGGCCTGTCCCAGCCTCCACACGCTCGCTGGGCATCTGCTCATGTCATCCTGACCCTGGCTTCGGTTTCATCTCCGATCCTGCCTCAGGACTGTTGTTCCCTGTTCCCTATGAGCCCCAACATTTAAAAAAAAAATTCGTTGGCTGCATTCATGCTGGTATTTCTCATGTTCACAGTGGGAATGGGAATGGAGTCTTAGCCCCACTCTGGTATTGCCAGAACTGGAAGTTACCTCTGGTTTCTGGCATAAATGCACTAGGGGTAGAGTTGAAGTTAATTTTTTTCTGTAGTCTTGATTTTAGTCTACTTACTGTTTATAATCTTTGGGTTTGCACCATTTGGAATACAAGGCATGTTTCTCTCTCTGCAGGCCGACTTGAATATCTGCAATGGCTAACGAAGCTCATCCTTGTCCATGTGACATTGGCCATAAGATAGAGTATGGAGGGATGGGCTGTGAAGTTCAAGTCGAGCACATCAAGGCTTATGTCACCAGATCCCCCGTGGATGCTGGCAAAGCTGTGATCGTCATTCAAGATATATTCGGCTGGCAGTTGCCCAATACCAGATATATGGCTGACATGATAGCAGGAAATGGGTACACGTACGTATAAAGTTCTGTTCCTTTACTTAAATTCATGTAAATTTCTGTGATCTATATTTTGTTCCAGGGAAAACAAAAACAAACCCTCAAACCCTGTGACCGTATTCTAATTTATATGTACATTATATACTTCCGTATCTCTCTGGGGTGCAGGTAAATGGGAAATGTCAAACTAAAACACCCACCCACTGTCCAATGGAAGCTACCTGTTCCATCCCAGTTCCTGGGCTTCAGGTCCTCCAAGGCTGCCCCCAGGGTGGAACACAGGTACAGGACACCTTGGGCAGACCTCCCTAGCTCTGAAATGGACCCACTGCTTGGTCCCTGAAGCATCTCAGTGGGCGTTCACAGGCAGAGTGTCTATGGCATCCTGGTCCCCACACGGACTACCCTGGATGGCCCTGTCTGAGTTAGACTGGGCTCCAGAGCTGGCAGAGTGAGACCCCAGGCATGTCCCAAAGTTTGTGCCTTTGTCAGATCACGTGGCCATGGCCACCTTTGGCAAATGCTGTTATCTGTTTGGTTTTCGCCTTCTCTGGTGTTGGTAACGGCTTCAGTAAAGCACAGAGGAGAGGAGGAACCAGAAAGCATGAACCTGATTTCCTTTGTTTTCTCCAAAAGAGAAGCTGGAAATCAATGGGTGCGCCTACCTCATTTTCCTAGGAAGAGAACTCGATTTAAAGGCTGCAGACCCACTGCATGGGATGCAAATGTAGTGTTGACCAGAAAGAAGACTTTCACTAGATTTCTCACTTTTTCGTGCCCCCCTCCACCCCCCAATTTCTTCTTGAAGAGGAGGCAACTTAACTTCATAGGGGCAAACCCAGTAATCAAAGCCATGGCCAATCCTAATTGCCTTCTGGCTCAGCCAGACCCTGCATGACGGGTGTTGCAGGGCTGTTGTCCTCAATCTTCCAGGTCAAGACTGTCACTGTTTCCATTTTACCAATTAGAAAACCAGGGTATGAAGACAGAGGTGCCGCTGCCCCAAGTCACCCTGCCACAACCAGCAGACGGAATGGGATTGTAGCTTTGTTGGGTCCTAAAAAATGAGTAAAGATGCCTGTGATTTACCAAGCCCTTTCACTCTGGTTCCATCAGCTTGCCCTCAAAATAGTCCTCTGAGGCTGGGGGGTGCAAGGTGCGGTCTCTATTAGTCAGGTCAAGAAAAGGAGGCTAAAAAGTGGTTAAATGACTGTTAAGGTTACAGGGCAGACGCGTCAGTACGGGGACTTGAACTGGATTCTTCTGACCTAAATGTCAGTGTTCTTTACACCCCTGCAGGAGGAGCTATGTCCCCCTCTCCATGGGGATGACCTTTCTTTTAAGAAACTGGTCTCTTATTTTAAGAAACTGATCCACCCTCCTGGGTTAACTTGCATGGAAGATCGTGAAGGGGAGAACAGGCTGCCCCAAAATGTGCCACTTTGGCATGTGGATTGTTTTGAGCTGAAGGCGATCAAAACCCAGTAGATTTAAGAATAACTTTTACCTCTCCCTTCACTACCTAGAAGAATTTAGATAGGGGGCCTAGCTCAGAAACAGAGCTATTACGGGAGATAACTTTTATCTAAATGACCTTTTCACGTGGCAGGACAAATATTTAATTACTAAACATCTGCTCTGACCGTCCTTTCTCTTCACCTCCTTCCCCTTGAAGCCTCAGACCCCATCCATGTCCTTAGCTCAGGATGGCACATAAGCCTCAATTGCCTGCCTTTGGGCGTCATATTTTTGTGGTCTCATATTTTTCATACATATTTTAATGGTTTTATATTTTTATGTATGAAATTGTTGACGTAAGAAATGTCCAAAACCGTAGAGAATTTTTATGAGTTTGAGACAAACTGACGACAATTGCCGGGCAGTGAGATCTCACGTGCTCTGGAAAATAACAGTTTTGCAACTTCTTTTATGCATTTGTAATGTAAGGGCGGTGACAAGGAGGTGGGGGAAAACAAGGCGGGATTGGATTGCAGGAGAGTTAACAAGACTCTGCTCTCTTAGGGGTGGTTTCTGCTTATTTCAAAGGTGTATTAACCTAGGTGCCCAGAAACAAAAGACAGGGCTGCTTAAGATGAAGATAAAACTTGTACTAAAGAAGTTACAGGCCTGGGGCGTGACCACCCACCAAGACCTCCCCAGTTAGGAATTTATGACCAGATCACCCTGTGAGGGTACTTTCCGTAGAAACCCTTTCTTGTCCACAGAACTACATTTGCCTTTCACCTGCTTGTCGTCTCATGTCAATGTAATTACTACAACATCCAAAGAACCTAGGAGGGAAGGAGGGAAATTTTTTCCTCCCCTACAATCGTCATGGACTCGGCCAGCTGGCTAGTCTCCCTGTTCAGTCCCTTTTAGAACTCGCTTTAGACTGTACCCTCTGGGCAGGAAATTGTGCCCTGTTGGCATGCTGGGCGGAGTCTGGGGAAAATTGCTTGGTCACAGTGACTGGACATGCTAACCAGGTGAGCTGTCCTGCCCTGAGGCTAATGTGAGAGGCCCACTGAGAGGTGTGAGCCCTGCGGGCAGGTGCTGGAGGAGCCCTCGTAGCCAGCCTGCTCAAGGCCCATGCTGCCAGGGGCCCTCGTCCCGTGGGATAAAATCTGGGGAAGTGTGTGTACTGCCAGGTCTCCAGATGGGCTGGCAAAGGCGTTGCACCTTCGGTTGTGAAACCTGAGAGGGCCTGGTGCCAGCTGGCCTCTGCTGTGATCAAAGCTGGTCCTCGTGGCCTCAACTTCTCTTTTCCTGGGAGTGAGACTCGTCAACGTAGCATGTTTCTTCGTGAGTGGAAGCAAATACGCAGTCCCAACAGTGACGAAACTAAGATCAGTTCCCGTCCCTGTTTTACAGAACCATCGTTCCAGACTTCTTCGTGGGTCAAGAGCCATGGCACCCCTCTGGGGACTGGTCCACCTTTCCCGAGTGGTTGAAAACAAGAAATGCCAGAAAGATCGATAAGTAAGTTCTGGGGGTGTGGCTATGTTTGTGGTGCCCCCCCCCCAGAGCACGAGGGAGAGCGGTGGGTCTGGCTTCACGCTTCTGACACGCCCCTCCCTCCGTGTAGGACTTGGGTGGCCACAGCCCTCCAATGGAGTACGTTGCTTCCAGTTGAAAATGTCTTCTGAGTTGTTCCAAGCAACCAATTTGCAAATGAACCATTTGCAAGACTGGGGCCACTGTCCTTGGTCCCGTCATGGCTTAAATAGTGCTGGTGGCTTTCCAAATCTTGCTCTGCTCTTTGGGCCTGGGAGGAGATGAGCAATGCAGAGTTGGGTATTAGGCAGCGGGAGTGAATGTGCCAAGTCAGAGAGTTTGGGAAGCTGCCCAGTTGGCTGGTGCCTGTTGAGAGGAGAGAGAGTAGAGGAGTGCTCACAGGGCGCAGACCTTGGGATCAGGCCTTAGAGCGGGCGGTGGCCTGCGGCCTTGGTCCCGAAGCTGTGGAGGGCTGCCGATCAGTGTTTAGCTGGGAAGTGAGCTAGTCAGATTTGCTGGTCTCTTGGAAAGAGCCAGGCTGCAGCCTGATCAGGCGGCTGGAGGAGGACGGCCTTGGCAGGGAGCCCAGCCAGGAGCGGCGTCACGGTCACGTGGGCCCGAGGTGGCGAGATGGAGCTCCGACAAAGCAAGAACCTCAGAAGCTGATCAAGCCCTGTTACCACCAGCACTGTGCTTGCTGCCCAGTGCCCTTCCCAGGACCTCACAAAAGACCGCTTGATTCTTGAGTAACTCTGCTTCCTGTTCTAGAGAGGTCGATGCTGTCTTGAAGTACCTGAAACAGCAGTGTCATGTGCAGAAAATCGGCGTCGTGGGATTCTGCTGGGGCGGAGTGGCTGTCCATCACTTGATGATGAAATACCCAGAATTCCGGGCAGGAGTGTCCCTCTACGGTATATCTGCCTTGTACACATTTACACAGTGAAAGCAGGGAGCAGGTGACCGTAACCGCAGGCCTCTGCTGAGCTCAGGGTCCCGGGGGCCACACAAAACCCGATGGTCACGAAATTGGCCTCATAAATCTGAAAGCAGAGGTAGAGGTTTGTAATGCAGTAACCAGAGGATGTCACTGGGAGTGAGGGGACCCGGTTGCCAATAGTGTGCCTTTGGGAAAGTCATCTAACCTGACATCTCAATGTCTTTGCTTAGGATGGAGGGGATGACCTTTCTTTTCTGTGATAATGAATTCCCAGCAATGTTTTTATGAATAACATCTATGAAAAGATTTTTCCAAGATACAAATTACAATATTCTTGACTGCACATGTGTCACACACACACACACACACACACACACACACACACACACACACACAGAATAAAGAAGGGAAGAAAGAAAAGGAAAACCCACTCTAAAATGGAAATAGTGACATAAACATATCAGCCAAAACAAACCAGATGAAACAGAGGTACCATAGCACTGATAGCGCATTGTAGCTATGTGTAGAAATGGCATACTACGTTCGTGATATAGAAACACTCAGACCATAAAAATGTTAAAAAAAGCCAAAACAGCAAAAAAAGGAAAATTGGCCTTCTTTCCTCATGTATGTGTCATACAGTTATACTTATGATTCTTATTTGGCTTAATGGTTCCTCACTGTGGTATTTTCGCCTACTTTTAGCATTTTAAAAACACTGACTGTTTGCTTACAGAAAAGGAATAGCTTGCCAGTTGCCACTGAGCACTGCTGGGGCTGACGGTTGCTAAAACACAGCCCCTTTTTGTGCGTTAGCAAAAGGCGCTGCTGCGTGGACGGCTCTCCCGCGCCCCCTTGTGGCCACTGTTGTGCAGTGCGTGAGCTGCGGAGCGCGGCAGGGCTCAGAGCCCTGGGCCATTAAACTGCTGTCCAGCCTCAAAACCGGGCATTAACAGTGGGGTAGGGAGTGTGGCCATCTTTTCCGTGGCTCCCTGCTTCCTAGAGAGGAGTTATAGGTGAGGGGAGTCTCTCCAGGTTACTAGCTTTGCTGTGCTGCCAAGAAGAAATGGAAAAAAAAAAGCCTTTATTATTTTCTCCTCCCTTCCAAGACTCTTGAGCATATCTGAGTCAGGTTCTGAGAGCCCACTTTCAGAGTAGGCCCCGACCTTGGGCTCTGTCCTTGGCCCACTGGGTCAGTTTAGCGAGAATCCCCCCACCTTTGATAGCTGATAAAATTCCTCACCCCCTACCCTCGGTATCTTGTCACTTGGCCTGCCTTCAGCAAGAATCTTGTCATCTGGCCAGAATCCCCCCTACCCCGATGCTTCTTTTTAGTTTTCCACCCACCGACACCTATCCTACTTTCCTGCCATAGTCCCCACTTGTCCTTGTATTCCTGGCTAAGCTGGACCCCTACTGCAAAGCCTCCATTGCCGGTTTTGAATCAAGATCTCTTTATCGTCTTTAACAAGCATCAGAATAGTCGTTAATACTCCTCTTATCTTAAAATGGCATTAGATTGCAAAGCTTCTGCTTGTTTTCCTATAGGAGCGGGCACACCCAGGGCTGTTGTCTGAATCTCCAAGCAGAACACACTTCTGACTAAACGATCCCTCAAACTCCAAAACCAAGGATGAAAACTAATGTTTAGGGGTGACCTGCTAGGTAGGACCAGGTGCCGTGCCCAGGGACTTCAGCTTGTGGTCTCATCTGAGCACAGATACCCTGTTAAATGGCCACCCCATCTCATGAATGAACCCACCCAGCACACTGAAGTCAGAGTGTGGGGCCTGTGCGCACCGTGAGAAATTTCTAGAACAATGGTGGTCAGGTGTTCCCGATTTGAAAGTTATCAGCTCTTGGTAAATGAAGGCACAGAACAAGAGGGAGCATTTTCCAGGCTGCTCCTGTATCTTAACACGCCTAGCAGCCGACGAGGTCTCATTCCATTTTTTTTTAAAGATTTTATTGGGGGATTGGGAGAGGGGAACAAATTGCTGACCTTTTGTTCTTCAGTCTAGTTGTGGAGGATGTCGCTTTGCTGGCCAATGTTAGTATTATCATTGCGCTCTTCCTGGGTGAGGCAGTTGCTCCCCGGCCATTGGAGGGCCTCTCACAGCAGTTCATGGCAGCTCATGCCAGCTGCCGGCCACTCACGGTGGCTTATGGCAGCCCCACTGCAGCCCCACTGCAGCCTATGCCATTATCGGAGACTCACGGCAGCCCAGCTCCAGGTCGAGCTGTTGTTCACCATCTTAGCTGTAGAGGGCGCAGTGTCACTGGCCCTCATGTGGGATCCGAACCGGGGCCCTGCTGCTCAGAGCTGGTGTCCCAAGCCAACTCCTAACCAAGGCGCCACTCGGCCGTCCCTCATTCCATTTTTTAAAGGCCTGATTTCTAGTGAGTGAAGTGGGAGAAGAGCTGACTTGATACGCTTCTCTGTGAGACTAATTTTGTAGGCCAGCCTACTTCTGTGCAGTTGCTATTATAGAAAGAAAACAAAACCCCCACAGCACATAATTTCACTTCGAAAAATCAAACCAGACCCACGTAGCTGCGTGCGGCATGCATGGAGTCACAGCCGCTGGCTCTTTGCCCACCCTGCAGGCATCGTCAGGGACTCTGAGGACGTGCACAGCTTGCAGAACCCCACGCTGTTCATTTTTGCCGAAAACGATTCTGTGATTCCTCTTGAGCAAGTAAGTTGGCACTTTTCCACTTCACATGTCTGTATTTAATAGCACAATTTGACATTTTGGGGAAGACATCCTAAAGGGCTCATTTGCTGCTCCAAATATTTTTCAACATTGTTTTAGAAGTGGGTTTTATTGGGGACTCAGAGATTGTAACCCCCCAAAATGCTCTTGGCGTGGCCTGGTTACTGGGCCTGGACACGGCCCTGCCGTCCCATCCCCCCAGGTGTAACTGGGGTTATCATGAGGTCTCTGTCACGGTGTGTTAAAGTTAGTACATTGATGAGGAAAAAGCAGAAGAAAACTGTGGCTCGCGAACAGTTGTTCAGAAACGATTGTTCATTGTATTAATACAAGTTTCAAATAATTTTATACTCGAATATATTGAATTTCATATTGAATATATTGAATATTACATACTTCAATATGTTAAATTATAGACTATATTATTTAAGATACATTATATTAACACAGTTTCAAATAGTTTATGTTGTAGCATTCTTACATTGCTCTGAGTTCTCTTCTTAGCCAGAGGCAAGGGCCGAGTTAGTGACAACATTAAAAGTAAAAAATTTCATTGTAGCGGTGGAGCTTCCTAAAGCATTGACGTTGAGTCTCTTATGAGCATTCAAAGAAGAGGTGGAGAAGGGGAGATATTACTGGAGGGTTAAAATTGTATCATCATGACAACCTTTGCCCACCAGGTCTCTTTGCTGACCCAGAAATTGAAAGAACATTGCAAAGTGGAATATCAAATTAAAACGTTTTCCGGGCAAACTCATGGGTTCGTGCACCGAAAGAGGGAAGACTGCTCGCCTGAAGACAAGCCCTATATTGATGAGGCGAGGAGGAATTTACTCGAGTGGCTGACCAAGTATGTTTAGCAATGGCCAAGGGAAACTTTCTCAAGATAGCTTTCGAGGTGTTTGCTTGCAAATATTGAGGTCATTTGATTTTTCACTTTATGTAAAATAAATCAAGGAATCCTGAGACTCATTTCATCTGAAACACAAATTCAGTAGGAAATGTTAACATATTAAATGATTCTATTTTTAACATGGACATAAATAAAAATTTTAAAAATTGGTCAGTACCTGATGAATTTGAATGATAGAATAACATCCTAACTATTAGGAAAACCTGAGGCTATTCAGGGGCCAGCTGACAGCTCAGGCGTGGCCTTCCTGGTTTTTGAGTATGACCTTTAAAATGATTGAATGTAGCAAAGCCATGAAAACATAAACTGTAAACTCAGGTTGATTAAGAGCCAAACTGACATTTATCTTTGTCTTAATACAGATGAATTTCACATTCATATATTGCACTATGAGAAAGAGATTAAAATCGGGCTCCATTGGCCTAATTATTGGGTTTGTCGGGAAAGTCATGACCCATTTTTTGTTTTTCGTTGCAAAAATGCGTCATGACTTTTCCGACAACCCAATATCAAGCTAATGCACTTAACTTTTATTCAAGTTTTTGAATTTGTGGCTCTTTCTAAAAGCTAATAAAGAAACGATGGATGGGTTACCATCTATTGTGTCCTAGGCAGAGGTTTTCCACACACGGGCAGGGGTCTTTGGGTCCCAGGGGCTGGGGCTGCATCGCACATCTCATGTTGCATCCTACTGACTTTCCGTTAACCCTGTTACGCCCGTCACAGCCCTGCAGTTTGTCTTCCTCGGTTCCAGCTGAGAATTTACTTGGTAAATCACGCCTAGACCAGTCACTGTCCCTCCACTGAACCCTCTGTGTCTGCAGACACCGGAAGGCCCCCCCAGGCCTGGGCCTTTGGGAGGCTCCCTCCATCAGGAGGGGTTTGCTTGGGTCCTGGGCTGGGTGTGAGGCTTTCATCCCAACGTGCCGTGGCCAACGTGGGGCCATTCCTGCAGCCTCAGAGCGCCACACCCACCCCTTCTTCTTATCCATCGCTGGGTGGGCCTGCAGAGTCCCGTGTGGCTGCTGCTCTGTTCTTTCTGTGAGAGCAGGAGTGACAAGATGGGACTCTCCAGAGACAGAGGGAGCAAGGGAGCGGTGACATGAGCCTGACCCCAGGCTGGGGAAGGGAGAGGAGGAGGGATTCCAGGCAGTGAGAAGGGCACAGGGAACCGTCTGAGGTCGGCTTAGAGACCATACAGGGCAGGCAAGACCGGAGAGCAGTGGAACCGAGCAGCGGAGCTGTGGAGAGGAGTTTGGTTCTGGTCCAGCCTGGAGTATCAGGTTTTCCTGGGCTGCGAGTTACAGCAAGCCTGACTACGTCTCTCCCCCAACACCCCTCCATGGGTCCAAGAGTGGCTCAGGCCTTGCTGATGCCAAGTCCTCTCGGGGTGGGCCTTAGCCTCACAAAACCCCAGCCACAGCAGCAGGGCTGTCTTCCTGTGCGCCTGTTTTTGTGGAGGAGGAAACTGTCAGAATCCTTCCAGCGTGTTCCCCACCTCATGAGAGAGGCTGAGTGAGCATCAGAGCATCAGGCTGGGGGCAGCTCATGGCCAGGACTGATTGGCTGACTCACCCCAGGCCTGGCAGTGAGGGAGGGGACGTGGAGGCCTGGTGGGTGGCAGCACAGGCTGCCATGTGGACCTACAGACTGGGGAGCCATCCGCCAGGCGTGGGCACCAACAGGGTAGAGTAAGACGGTGATGAGAACGTGGGGGGCAGGAAGGGTGTGGGGGGGAAGTGTCCAGGCCCCACCACGATGAGCGAGCTGTGTGGCTTTTGGGCAACGCGCCTAAATTCTCTGACCGTTTTTCTCAGTGCAAAATCTTCAGAACGAGGAAAAGGACATTATTTTGCAGGGTCGCTGGGGGAGAGTGTCATGTGGAAGTAACATCCACGTGCCTTGTGCTTGGGTCAAGGTAGGGAGCTGTGCTTGTTTCTGAAGCCGTGTCAACCTCGACAGGGGAAGTAGACGGAATGAGATGGAGACAGGGACACAGGAGGACTAGAACCCACATGAAAGTCACAGGAGTCGTCTCAAAAGGCAGAGAAAAATTAAAAAGAGAAGTGTGTCACTGGGAGATCGATTGCTCCCCCTTCCGCACCCCCCCAACCCCTGGACCACGTGAGGATAGGGACAAGGTGGCTGTCCACAGTGGGCTTTCCCCAGCACCCCGATCTTGGACTTGCAGCCTCCAGAACTGAGGAGTAAATGTGTTGTTCCAGCCAGTCTATGCTGTTTTTGTCATAGGAGCCTGAACTGACAGTTCTACTTGGGACAGGCTCACTAGATGGGTTTTTCAGAAAATGTGTCACATGTGCAAGTCTGAGGAGCCAGTTCGTCGGTCATTCTAAGTGGTCTTCCATCAGGGGCTAGTTCAGCTGAGACCACCACACTTGTCACACAGAAGTGCTTTACATGCTTGTCACAGAATACCCAAGGCCGAGATTCAGTGATCTGTATTACCATCCTTCAGTGAAAACGGCTGTTTTCAAAGTGTGGTCAAGAATATGGCTACGTACAAGCACAACCTGGTGCCACTGCCCGGACTCACACCAACATGAAAGCAGTTTCACTGTGGTTGCTTTTGCACCATTGGCGCAAATGTCAACACTGCAAAGGCCAAGCTCAGCGTGGAAATACTTACCTCATGGTCCCTTGAAAGGGTCCGGACCCCAAGGGGTCTGTGGCCCACATTGCAAAGCAGTGTTAATAGCTACATAGAACATTTACAGCAGCACTAAAGACATGGCAACTGTTGAACACACTTACTACTGCTGTCACGTGCTACCTGGTTTTCCTGACCTTCGACACGTTTTCTCAGTAGCCACTTGTCTTTGGCATCTTTTCTGGTGGTTTAGATGACCCCCATCTTGCAAGCTTGCCTGCAAGAATCACCGAAGATGGAGAAAAACTTCTGTGCTTACAAATGGTCCCCTCACCCCCAACCTCAAACTCCCAATCCTTTAGTGGAGTGTTCACCATGAAGAAAGAAAGGCAAAAGGATGAAAGAAATCCAGTCACATCTAACAGACTAGCCTCTGGCCATTCCAGAGGCATTTGTACTTTTGAGGGTTGCTTGTAAAGAGCAGGCCATTTAACAAACATCAAGCAAATCCAGTGTGGGAGCTGGGAGCCCACAGGAAAATTCTGGGTCAGGTGTGGTTTAGTTGCTCTTGCCACACATGGGTGAGATGGGGGTCATCTAAAGCACAGAGGTGTCAAACTTGACAAGTGATTTGGAACTTGAAGACAAAATGGGTGATGTTAGCTTGAAGAGGTGTTTTTAATGAAATAGTCAGAAGCTGTGAAACAACAGCTCTACGAGTTTTCCTGTTCACATGGCAGCCAGTTTCCTGTCCCATCCACAAAGAGCACCAGGATGCGGTGAAGTTGTTTTGGGAGGAGTGGTTTGGTGGCTCTTCTCACACTATCACCAACCCCTTCAGGCGAGAGCCTGGCCCAAGGCAAGCTATGCTCTGGGCAGGTGAGATCAGTCCTTGTGAATCAGCTGAGCCTAACTACCGAGGCATTTATCTAACAGGTGTACGCCTACGCCTGAGGTGATTCTAATCTCGGAACAGGCACCCTGACACTGCATAAATTACACCAGTTTGTGTGTTCAGTACGTTTTACACCTGCAATACTCAACTGTCTAGTTCCACAAACACACCAAAATGAGGAAGAATGGTGTTGGCAGTTATTCCTAAATCCACAGTATACTGTTTAGTGAAACCACTGAGGTGAAGCAAACATGATGACCCAGCGGGAAAGAGATCAGCGTCCAGGTTCACAGAAGACAACCCCTAAACATAACGAGGCAGGAAGCATCGGTTTCCCAACGCCAGGAACTCGGACTAGTGTTAACAGCAGGCCTCTAGCCCTGGTGGCACGTCGGCAACCTTGATCATCACGGTTCTCTAGGAGAAACGTTCTTTTGGGAGATGCAGAAAACCATACACAAGCGAATGGGCACAGCAGCACTGGGGCTCAGGGGACTGGACGGAGGCTGCCCGGGTTTGACCCAGCTCTACAACTTACGGGCCGGGAGCTGTTTGGTAAATGATCAAGTCTCACCTATAATATGTGAATTATAAGAAATCCATCTCCTTCATAGGGCGACGATAATTGTCCCAGTCCAGGTAAGGGTTTCAGAACAAGGCCTGGCCCGAGGGAAGGCTGTCACTGTGGCCAGTTGATTCCAGCCCAGAATAACCCACGATCAGTCTACGGGCACACAGCCATCGCAAGGCACTGCTCCTCCTCAACCCGTCTCCCTTTTCCTTCAATCCCGTGACTCGCATTACTGTCCCTCCGTGAGAAAGCCTCACATGGGTTCTGAGCTGCCCTCCTGAGCATGTGGGTGGTGTAGTGCTCCGACCACTCAGCCTTCTCCATACACAGCTGGCCTACGTTTGGGGGAGATGGAGGCGGGGGCAGGGCCAGAATAAAGCAATAGGGACCATGTGAAGATTCAACTGCCAACGCTGGTCTCACCAGCACTGTTAATAAAATCCGCTGTCGGCGTAACCTACCAGCACTTGAGACGTCCCAATTCTGTGGTAGAAACTGATCACAGGACCCACCATTTACACAGATGCAGCATTTAAGTCCATTTAATAGGATCAAGCCCACATTACTCTCAATGTTAAAATAAATCCTGAGAACAAACTCAATGTTTTAAGCTGTTAAAATAGGTCTTAAGGCTTATGAAAAACAAACAAACCACAACCCCTTTCAATGAAGGTGGCATTTGATTACAGTGAGTGTTTAAGAAAAAAAAGGCTGTGTAGAGACGCCTTTAATACAATGGATACAAAAGCTAGTGTGACAGTGTCCCTACCACCACACGTCTCTGAACAAGAGCAACTATAGTTACCAAACAGCTACTTTCATTACAGCATCTACAGTGTCTAGAAAAGAACATAATAATAAATAACTGTAGATGCATCACAAGACACCCATTTATTTAATCACAGCAGTGGATCTTACTATGTTTTATTCTACATTTTTTCTTTATTCTTCTGATTCCCCAGGCTTACGGATATCATCAATCTTCAAAATCATTCTAACCATCTGTGTTGCAAGAGAGATCTGTTGCTTTTTGCCAATCAAGGTTTCTATGACATGCTGTTGCTTCATATCTGAAAAATACAAATAAATTGATTATCCTAAAACAGAATACACATTTAATATTAGTAATTTGCTTCAATTTACTGAATCGCAGTAACACATAGGAATTACGTATTTGGACGCCACAAGTCCCAGTTACATTTCTGAAAGAACATTTCATTACCTGCAAGGGCTTTGGAGTTTGAACCTGGGTACTATCAGAGAGCCGGGTTAGGGTGGGGATGGGGGGGAGGGGGCACACCTCTCTTCAATCGCAAGCGGAAAGGCTAGGCTACTAGCTAAAAGGTGAAACCTTTCAGTGACATCTCACCCCACACCATATAACTCAGTAAATCTTAATAAGTGAAATCTGACAGTACCCAAAGTATAAGATAATTCGAACACCTAGAAATGGTACATTTTGGCACAACCAGGCCTTCAAGTTAAAAAATTTAAACACCTGTCTGATAAAAGAGCTGCCTGGACTCTGAACACAAAAAGCAGAACATAGCCACACTTTCAGTACAATCAGACTGTCTGACGCTGTGGTTGGGACTGGCTGCAGGACTCCACACGGCCCAAGCAGTACAGGACCCCCAGGACTGGCGTTTCCACAAGCAAATGCCGCACTCGGTTTTCAGCAGGCGAAGCAGTCATGTGGCCAGAGTCAAGGACAGCACATTTATAAACTCCCCACACTTTACGGGGTACAAGCAGAGAGTATGCCATGGACTAAAAGTCAATTTTGAGGCTGTTTCAGGTGAGACCAGAATCCACTCTGACAGACACTTGTGTAAAAAAGGGAAGATGGGAATTATTTTGGAAGATTAAAATGGAAGCCGGTTCTGGTGTAAATACCACATCGTAATTCATTGTCATTACCCTTATTTTCATGTGGCCAGGACTAGCAGTCTAACCAGCTCCTAAGGCAATCACATCAAACACACTGAAATTCAGGATCCGAATACCTCAAGTTGTGTTCAAGAATTCACAAAGCGACGGCAACCTCAGTCAGCACCACACAGCCGCGCAGGAGGCCCCCACTCCCCTGAATCTAGCCACAGCCCCTCACCGTTTGTGCCCTTGTGCAAACAGTCGATTCCCAGAGCGGGGTTCATCTCCTTCACTTGTCTGGCTCGAACTTCGGTCATGGTCTGGATGGGGTTCATGCCACTGTTCTCCGAAAGAGCCATGGGGATGACCTCCAGGGCGTCGGCGAACGCCCGCATGGCGTACTGCTCCAGGGTCGGGCACTGCAGGGCACAGGCAGTGAGTGTGCTTGGCAGGAAGACCCAGCAGCATTTGCAAACATAATTACCAGTTACACCCCGACAAGCTAACTCATGAGCGATGGTAAGCAAAGGCTGTCTTTACTCTGCCAGAATATGAAAATACCACTACAGAATAAGGGTGGTGAAAGTACACATGCGAGACGCCTGAGAACAAATCGGCTCTTACTGGTGTGTATTGTATTATATTTCATTAACTTTCAATTTCAAACAACGTTAAGATAGTAACTGTCAAGGCCGGAATGACTGAAAGAAGCCGAGAAATGCCCGTTTATGGTAAGCTGCGCTTGAGTGCACGGGCGTGAGTCCACGTAGATGGAATGTCTGTCAGACACGCCCGAGGAGCTGGACGTCCCAGGCTGGCTCTTGCTCTGGCCGGCTCTGCCACCCCGCGCATGTCCCCACAGCTCCCAACCTCATCCCCAGACTGTCCCTCTGAGCTCCTGCTAGTTTTGTTCCCTGTGCGGCGAGTCAAGCACCCGGTCCGTTCGCAGCACGGACTGTGCACACACTGCACAGTACAGACATGTCCTGTCCTGTGAGTCCTGACATGCGTTTTTACCTTATCTGCCGCCTGGCTAACCGCCAAAGCACAGGCGATTTCGGCAGCGCCTCCCCCATACACCACACGATTATCACGGATGAGGTTCCGGATGACGCACAAGGCGTCGTGAAGGGATCGCTTTGCTTCCTCGATGATCTGGGGAAAACAGTTTTGCCTGAATTAATGTGATCATGATTTATTCATTTCGAGCCAAATACCCAGCAGCTCTGGTTTAATCTAAGTGCTTGCTGAAAATAGTCCTAACTCCCCCATTAAAACCATCGTGGTTAAAACAAATGAAGAGAGTGTGCCAGAATACTTGTCAAATGGTTTCTATGTTCATTCTACCTCTTCTCCCTACAACGTAGTTAAAAAAAAACAGGCAGAGGCACATTGACTCATTCCAGGACACATGACCAAGTGGAGGGGTCAAACAAAACTAAACTGACCAAGAACCACCTCACGATGGGTCTCGTCCGGCATGACGCACTCTTGGGGAACAGAGAGCTCGCTAATGGTTATTTATGTAGGGTCCCTATTTCTACTTAAGGGACTGAGGAAAGGCACACGTGCCTTGGAGAACTGGCAACGGAGCGTGGTCTGTGGTAACTTTACATCGTGATGTGTCTTTGTTTCTTTAAGAAAAATGATCCTGTTTTACTTATGCTAATTGCGTCTCAGTTACAAACATTATAGGTAAAGCCAAGCCATGTACCAAAATTGGAAAAAACGCAGGACAAAATCTCGCTTCTCACCATCTTATTTCCTCCTCTGATGAAAATGGTCACAGCTCTGGAGTTCTTGCACTGCTCGATGACCAGCATTTTGTCCTTGGTTGTCCCAAACGAGATCTCTTTTACCAGCCCAGCGAAGCCCAGCTTCTCAGCGGTGAGCTCTGAGAACCGCGGGACGATCCGTCCTCCCGTGGCAATGGCGATCAACTAATGGGGGGTGAGGTGGGGGAGGGGGGTCAGGGAGAGAAGGGAGACAAGGTGGGTCAACAACGAACTTTCACAATTGGACTGCAAAGCAGCTAAGCTCCACCTAGGAGTTCACTGGAACTGCTGCCCCGTATTGGCCCCAAATCTTCAAGTTCAACCCCAAACGTTTGCCTTGTTAAATGAACCAGGCTCTGAAGAGCTGGGTGTCTTGGTCTAGCTTTGCCCGGCTGTCACCCTGCGCCATGTGCTCCCAGCTCCCAGACTCATCTCCTGACTGCCTCTGGATCCGCGCTCTGCAGCCATCCCTCTGCAAACAGGGCTGCAGTGAGGACATACAAGGTTGTGTGTGTCTGGCTACACGCGTCTGGGATGGCTGTAAGTTTTCGGTTGACACAGAAGTGGGTGGATAAAGCCACCTCAGAGCCAGAGGCCAAGTGAGATGACATGGAAAGCATATGCCACAGAACACCAGAAACATGCAGCATTGTTACTAAAACAATAACAAGACTTCTAGCCCTTTTCTCTGTCCCAGCCCACCCTCCTCTAGTTTACGGAGCCTTGGTCAGACGTGGTAATTTAAGGCGAGCACTATGACAGCGCACCGTAAGCCCAGCCCGAGTCCAGAAGTCTCTCACACGCAGCGTCCTACCTCGATTTCAGGTCCTCCCACCCAGCGAACTGCAGGCAGGTTGCTCTGAAGAAGTAAGTGGTTTGCTTCATCATCAAAGCCCCACTGACAAATAGCTAGGTTAGCGCCAGTTTCTTTAATCTGCGAAAAGAGATTCCGCCATCATGTTAATAAGAAGTAAGGACTCTTTGTGTTCTGATGTTTGAAAAAAGGTGAGATGCACAGTTGGGTAAGGTGGGTGCATTAAAATAAAACACAGAAAAGGAAGGAAATGTGCAACTGCAGACTTCCACCAGGTCCAAATTCTAAATAACAAACAAGTATCAATGGGAATACCTCATTTTATTGGGTTGTCGGAAAAGTCATGACGGATTTTGTCTATGTTTTTCAAAAGTCATTTATTTATATAAAAAACAAAGATCAATCAATGATATATTGCCCGTTTTGTTTGAGAACCTTTTGCCATCTTTCAGTGAGCTTCATAATTCCTCGTTCATAGAAGGACCTGTCTTTATTATTTGCGAAAAACTGAACAAGGTGCTGATTTATAACCTGATCTATACCACGCAAGGAGTTTTGAAGAGAGCGAAACAAGCGCAAGTCTGATGGTGCAAGGTTAGGCGAGTATGGTGGGTGTGGCAACACATCCCATCCAAGCTCCAATCATTTTTGACGGGTGATCAAACTTGTGTGTGGTCTCGTGTTGTTGTGATAGAGCACAACTCCTTTACAATTAACAAGCTCTGGACGTTTCTGGATGATGGATTCGTTCAAACTGTCCAACTGCCGACAGTACACATTCTTTTTTTTTTTTTAAAGATTTTTATTGGGGAATTGGGGGAAGGGGAACAGACAAGTTGCTGTTGTTTTGGTTCTTCTGTCCAGTTGTGGAGGACGCTGCTTCACTGGCCCAAGCTGGCACCAGGCAGTACACATTCTAATTGATTGTTTGGTTCCTTGGTAGGAGCTTGAAATACACGACACCTTTAAAATCCCACCACACTGAGCGCATAACCTTCTTCTGATGAATGTCTGCTTTTGATGTTGTTTGAGGTGAATCATCACATTGGGACCAACACAGTTTGCACACCACATTGTTATAAACAATCCACTTCTCATCACCAGTTATCGGTCGCTTAAAAAAAGGATCGTTTTCCTCACGTTTAATGAGCATATTGCAGATGTTTATATGCGCCATCTAATGAACTTCTTTGAGTTCATGAGGAACCCAAATATTTAGCTTGCTTATGTAATTCCCAGCTTCTTCAGGTGGTCGTGAACGTTTGAATGATGGATGTTCAATGTTTCTGCAATCTCTCCTGTCGTGTAACATGGGTTTGACTTGATCAATGCCTTTATTTTGTTGTCATCAACCTCGGTGGGCCTCCCTGACCGAGGAGCATCGTTGAGATCAAAATCACCAGCATGGAATTTCGTGAAAATCGTTGGCACTGACATTCCTGTAGAACATTGTCACCGTAAACTTTATGCAACTTTTCACAAGCTTGACGCGCGTTCTACCCTTTATGGAAGTAAAACAGTAAAGTATGGCAAAAATGCACAGTTTGGTCTTCCATCTTCAACTTGTAAAATCTCCAAAACTCAACCAAATCGCTCAATTTTTTTTTTAGAATGAAGCTAGAACTGTCAGCTGTCAAATGACATAGCAATAACATAGACGAGAATGACTCTAGTACTTCCAAAAATGAACTTGTGCCATGTGTTGCAAACATGCATCGTGACTTTTCTGACAACCCAATAGAACGGTGGTTTAAAAACCAGTGATCCACACTGAACTGAACTGTTCCCGAGAAGCAAAACGAGAGGCTGTCAGCCGAGCTAAGCCCCCCGCTGGCCCCTGGAAACCAAGGTTAACAGCTCTGTCCTGCCACAAACACCTCTGAAGGAGTCTCAGGCACTCGTGTTTTAATAAAACAGCCTACGGGACAGTTCTCTGCAACCTGCTTCTCTCACCTCTCACTTCAGGGGACTATCCTCTGTGGATCAATAAATAGAGTAATTTAGAGGCCAACAAAGGTGACCCCACTTCTAATAGGAAGCACCTCTCCGCTCCGCCCCATGCAAATGGCTATGTGGCTGGCCCCAAGGCGGCAAGGATCAGAACTGACCGTCCATCCCGCCACTGTGGTCGCCTGCGATAGGATGTCTGCGCCAGGCCCCACCGCCGCCATTTCACCCGTCTCCACCCAAGCCTCCGGTCATCTGCCACACCTGGCTCGCCCCCTCTCCTTCCTTCCTTCCCCAACTCTCTGGAAGTCGGTCCATCAACGGCAAAGTCCTCCTTGCAATGTTTCCGTCACATTCTTGCTGGGAACAAACCCTGGCTGTGCCCTGCGCTCCTACTCAAATGGCTCCTCCCCCCAGGTGCTCCAAAAGGTCCTGTCTGCTCCCCGTTCACAGCCACCTCCAAGGCTCCTCTGGGCCATTCCCTCTCATGCTTAGCGTTGGCATCTAGCGCCATCACTATTCCTCTTACCATCCCTGCCAACCGTCACACCTACCAACACACCAACACAACCCCCAAGTCCCCATCACTTCCTCCAGTGCAGCGTGCCAGCGCCCAGGGCTGCCCCGCATGCTGCAACCCCTCAGCCCTGCTGTTCCCTGCACACGCCGAGCACACTCCTGTCTCAGGGCCTTTGTACGTGCTGCCCTCGCCTACCCTGCTCGGCCTGGAATGCTCCTCAGAGGCCTTCTCAGCTGTCTGTGCAGCGCCCCACTCTCTCCCCGCCGTCCCCTGCAGAGCAAGAGCTCTGCTTTGTTCACTGCTATTATATAGTGCCACAGCAGTGCCTGACACAAAGCAGGCAGAGAACATCAGGAAGAAATAAACGGACTCAACGACGCCCCGAAAAACAGATGGCAAACTAGCCTCTAGTCCATCCGCTATGGTAAAGAACGTCCATGTCCCGTGTCCGTGAGTTCTGGTGCTTTGGGCTCCCACGGACAGCCCCGAAGAGGAAGCACTGCGCCGAGCCCGCGGGGAAGCGGGAAGGTGCTCACTGAACACGACTCCACGGGCACGAGCAAGGAGCTGAGATACCACGACGGCACCCGGGTTTCACTCCAGGGTCGAAGAGTTCTAGCTAGAGGTCTCAAATATGCGGAAAGCCACATTAAAACTGTCCAAAACTGCACCTTACAGCCTACACGTGTCCAGGAGAGCAAGCACGTAAAACCGAAAGCACGGTGCCCACCCCAGGCGCGTCGCCATTTTAAGACCAGGCCCCACTTCTCTTCCCCTTACGCGCTGCTGGGCCGTCTGATTTGTTCTCACTGTGAATGCTCAGTACTTTTAGAATTCAAAAGTGAAGAAAGCCAGCCCCTACTGTTAAGGTGACACCTGTAACCACATAATGAAGCACCAAGCTAACACAGGTTTGCGCCACGCACACTGACCACCTACAGCGGCCCACCGCGCCCTCGGGGAGCGTACTGTCACCGTGAGCCACGGGGGCCTTACCTGCTGGATCATCTCCTCAAACTTCTCCTTCTCGTACTTCTGAAGGGCTTTATAGTCTTCCACTGAGGTCACGTCCAGCTTATGCTTCGTCTTTGGTTTCGGCGGTTCAAATGGACATGTGAGAATTGCAATCTTAGCATCTTGGACTTGCTGTGGGGAAAAACAGGACCATGAGTTGGTAGACTTGTCAGTTAAAAAGGCTCCAGCTGTGAAACGCAGCGACTCACTTTTGGCATCTGAGGGTGGCTGAAGTCCTTGTCCACAATCACGCCCTTAATAAGCTCGGTGTCCTCCAGTCTCCCGCCCACTTTGCCTTCTACTTTGATGAGCTCAAAGTCGACGTCTCTGCGCTGCATGTCGGCCACCGTGAGCACGGCGTTCACGGCAATCTCGGCCATCCGCTGGTGACAGCTGTTAACCCTGATGAAAACACACAAAGGCGGCGCTTATTTATGTAACTATTACTGCAACCAAAGCAGATGTAACGTGGTAACTCAAATATAGCATGACTTACTGCAACTCAAAGGCATTTTATACAATGAATGATTCAGAGTCTCAGGAAAGAACGCCATCACAGCCCGCACTTTCAACATTTTGGGGCAGGAATTCTCTGGGATCCAAGGACCCCAAAGGGAACCAGAGAGTTGGATGGTAAAAAATTTTACATCTTGATGCAGTGCAGACTTATGAGAAGTGAGAGCTGACAGGGTGTCCCCACTTTGTAGGGGTTTCCATGATGTCGATTATAGGTGGGAGACGCTACCTTTTTTGAAAACTTTGAAACATTTGAATAGACTGATCAATAAACTTACTTTCTGGGAAAACGATAAGGGAAATCTAGTAATTGAGATAGTGCCTGAAATCTTACATCATCTAGAAAAGATAAACGTGAAACTAAAAATGTTGTTCGTGTCCTAAGTAAGTGATTTACAATATTTTGCTTCATGTTGAATACATCTACACCTACACTAAAAGCAAAGCCAAAATAACAACAGAAAGAAACTCATCAAATAGGAAGCCACCAAGGTCATTTCCTGTTACCTCCAGAAACTAACAAACTTTACAGCCCCTACAAATGCTAACCGTAGCACTGAGAACCTACACTTTGGAGCCCAGCGTGGTTTTTGCAGTCTGAATCAGGGGCTCGGTGTTCTTTATGTCGACGAGGACACTGTCGCTGATCTTGTCCAGGTGCTCGATAGCAATGCGGGCGGCCTGCTCGAAGCCGTCGGCGATCCGGATTGGGTGGATACCGCGGTCCAGCAACAGCTCGGCTTCTTCCAACAAGGCACCAGCCAGGACTGCAGACAAGACCGCACACAGCCAGTTCAGGATAACATTAAAACCAGTATAACCCACCCAGATTAGATGCTGCCCCGCAGGCCTCAGGGTTCCAGGGTTACGCTGGAAGCATTAGAGGCTGAGACCATCAATCTAGTCTGAAAAAGGGAGCCTCCTGTTTTGGTTCTGGAAAAGGTCTAATAGGTCTCACATCATAGATGGATGAAAATGTTGGGCGATGTAAAAACTGGAACATAAAAACACTTTTATAAGGGGAAAACCCCTTGCTTCCTGGGCCAGGGATTTCTATTCTGTGAAATTCATGCTGGTAGTAAAGATGTATTATTTACTCTGCCTCCCCGCTTTGTTTTAGCACCACGAAGGAGCTGTTTGCTGTAACACTGCTGTACTCAAAGCACATCCAGAGCAGTGCTTGGTACCCAGTAAAGACTGAATAAATGAACTCAAAGTTCATCTGCAGATATAACATTATTCATCTCGTCAAGCCTCCCTAACTTCAAGTTCTGCCTGTTAAGTGGTTGTCCTTTCTCTTCAGCTCCTTTCCTCCAGCCCGCACCCTTCTGTTCCTTCATGGCAGTTTTGAAGGACCTGCTGCCCTTGTTTTGTAGTGTGTCCTTCAACTTGGATTTGTCTGTCTCCTCATAATTTGATGCAACATAAATGTTCTCGGCAGTTTTAGCTGTGTGATTTAAATAGCACCTCTTAAACGAGAATGAGTATTTTGCCTTTTCTTACCAACCACTCCTGTGGTCCCATCTCCAATTTCATCATCCTGTGATTTGGACAGTTCAACCATCAGCTTGGCAATCTGGTGGTCCACATCCATCATGCTCAAAATGGTGGCCCCATCGTTAGTTACAGTCACATCGCCATCCTTATCCACCATCATTTTATCAAGCCCTAAAAAGACAGCAAAGTTTAGAATGGCTCTGAGGAAAACAACGGGCAACCTACACCCAAAGCTGTAAGGAAAGTCAGACCTCTTGACCCAGCTCCTGTTTAGGAATTGACCATAAACATTTAACATATATAAGGGAGCATCTGCATGCAGACATTTTCATATTGGCTCCTACCAAGTGAAACACTGGAAACCATCAAAATTGGCTAAAACCAGAGAAATGGAAGCAGAATTACGGACCACCACTAAATGTAATTAATATTAATCACAAAAGACAGCAGCTACGATTTGGCACACTGCAGGGGGGGCTGACATTTCGCAGGCATTTGCTGATTACGACACCAGGGACCCACGCACGTAAGGTCTGCACCCACACTCTGTAGCAGACAAAATGGTAAACCACGGCTGCATTTTTGTCCTCGTTCTTAAAAAAAAAAAAAAAATCTTTCGTTTACCTTGAAAACCCTACGGTGAGACACTGCAAAATGAAAAAGACAGTGCTGAAAGATGACAATCCCAGGTCAAACAGTTATGGGGAAGCACAGAGAACAAGTATGGACAGCCCTACTGCTAACGACGCAACCAGAGCAAAGCCAAAAGAAGCCCTACTGCCCTGTGCACACAGGCGAAAGGCAAGTCCGATGCTACACTGTCACATCCAGCCGGAACAGGGAACGTAAGGAGCGTGACCAAGGCAAACTGGACATTGTAAAGTGAAAAACGGAACGTCCCAACATCGCAATGCTTGGTGTTAGCAAACCAAAATGGATCGGAAAAGCACATTTCCAGCAGCATTCTGTTCTGCTAATGACAAGTGAGAAGAAACGGAGCGGCTTTGATACTGAGGCAAAATGCAGGAAGGCAGTTAGGGCTACAATGCAAGGTCTGACCGTCAGACTGCTAGGGAAACCTATGAACATAACCGTCACTCAAGCCTATGATCTAACGACAGGGTTTGCTAAAGGTGAAATTGAAAGCTTTTATACAAACATCCAAAGACAAGACATGCTGATAATTGTAGGTGACCAGGATGCCAAAGTATGAACCAAGGTAGAAGCAAATGTCATTGTAACATTTGGACTAGGGGTCAGAAATGGAGCAGGAGATTGGCTAGCAGGTTCTGTGAAGCCAACAACTTGTCCATCGCAAACACATGCTTCAAACCACTGACTAGTGACTGTCCACGCGGACACCACCACACGGCCGGCATGGAGATCAGACTATGTAAATGGAAGCAGGAGCTGGAGAGGCTGCACTCTCGGCCGAAACAAAACCGAGAGGAGTGCGGTGCTGACTGCCAACTGTTGCTATCGCACATCAGAGCAGAGCTGAAGAAGAGCGCTAGGACAATGGGAGTGCGAAAACAATGTAAATAACACCACTGGTGGATTAAAAGTCCACATAAAAACAGATTTGCACCGTTAAACTTAACTGACCAACAACCAGAAGAGCTGTGGACTGAAACTCGAAACAGTATCAGAGAAGAATGGAAACAGACAACGCTGGTAGTAAAAAGGACAGAAAAATCACGATGGATGACAGAAGAAAACCTAAAAATTGTTAGGGACAGGAAAGAGGCAAAAGCAACAGGTGACAAAAGCAGGGTTAGAATTCTGAATGCAGTTCTTCAATGACTGTCATGTAGAGATAGACAGAACTATCACAGTAGCCAATGTAAGACGAGAACAGAAAAGGAAAAGCAAGAGATTGCTACCAAAGAGTCAAGAAATAAAAGGGAAACTCAAATCCTGACTAGGAAGGCTCAAAGACCAACAAGGAAGCACATTATCTGACCAGCAGAAAACAAAGGCAGAAACGGTACACTGAAAATCTACATAGAAGAGATAAAAGGATGACAGGCACCTTTGAAGGAGATTCCTATGAGGAAGAACCTGTAATTCTAAAAGTGCAGTGAATGCGGCCCTGAAAGTAGTGGGAAGAAATAAATTGCCAGGGTTAGATGGGATACTGATAGAATCAAGCCAGAGGCTCAATCTGTCAAAATCTTAGCATGTCAACAAATATGGAAAACAAACCAATGGGCTACAGCCTAGAAACGTTCACTATACACCCCAATCTTCAAGGAAGCCGATGCCAAGGAGCCCCGTAACCACAGAACCACTGCTCCAGTTTCCTACACAAGGTGATGCTCTAGGCGATGCAACGAAGGCGCGTGTGGATATGGAGCAGGAAGAGCCAATGTGCAGGATGGATTCCAAAATGAGGCACTCAGGCCTAACTGTGAGTATTCGCTGGACACTGGAGAGCTCCAAGAATTTCAGAAGGTCAGTCTGTGCTTTCCAGACCACAGTGAAGCCTTTGGCTGTGCAGACCATGAAAAGCCCTGATTGCTTGGACAGAAATGGGCATCTGAATATCCTGAAATGTGACCTGTATTGTGGACAGGAAGCCACTGTCAGGACAGAATATGGAGACAGAACGGTTTCCTGTGGGCAAAGGTGTCAGATAAGGATGCATTTAATCTCCCCATTTGTTCCATCTGTACACAGAACATGTTACATGAAAAGCTGGGCTAGTTCTATCTCTGCATGACAGGGAAGGCTGACAGGAGAAAAAGGGCATCATTTGAAATGTGGTGGGGAGGGGAGCTCTACAGAGACCCAGAGCAAATTCAGCCTGAAACATCGCTGGGGGCAAAAATGACAACACTGCAACGGGCACATCATGAGAAGGCAGGGTTCTTTGGAAAAGACAATAATGCCGGGAAAACACAAGCAGCAGGAAGGAGGAAGACCAGATATGAGACGGATTGGCTCCATAAGAGAAGCCATGGCCATGTGTCCACAGGAGCTGAGCAGGGCTGTGAGGATAGGACACTGTGGACGTCACTCATCCACAGGGTCCCCAGGAGTCAGAGCCAACTCAATGGCATGTGACACACACACAATTCAGAAAATGCTAATGAAACGATGTTTCGTGGAAAAGTATCTGACCTAAAACTGTGCACACCTTATGACTAAAGCCGTGATTAGAGCACAGAACAGTTCAAAGTTTGGCTGTATCAGGGAAGGACGGCCCCTCCAGTCCCCAGCTTTCTGTAAAGAGGTTGTACTGACTAGTTTGACTTAACATTTTGTTAAAAAAAACTCGGAATGTTAGTCTCTTACCATTTGGTCCAAGTGATGTTCTCATCGTATTCGCTACAGCCTTTGCCGCCATTATATGAGACTAAAGGAAACAGAAAAAGCAAATACTCAAGTTACGTATTTTAACAGTACAAAGCAAAGAGCTGATGATTTAAGACCACTTTGTAATGCTAACTTCATGCGAGAGCCCCGCCATCAACACACAGCACCTTGAGCTGTCACACTATGGTTTACTGCAGAAACAACTCTCTTCTCTCAATTGGTACAGCCAGGACCTAACTCATGCACGAAGTCTCCTGCCAAAGGTATCAAGACTGAAAGTAAAGGAAGCCTGAAAGTATCTGTTCCTGTTTTCACACATAATTAGGTGCATTTTCCTCCAAATGTCTTGTTTCTTTTCTATTCTCGCTGTCACAACCTAACCCAGGTCCACTGCGCCCTACAGAAACCCAGGGTCTCGTATCTCACCTCCTAGCCTTCAGGTCCGTCCTATATCCAGCTAAGCCATCCATTTCTCTCACACACGTCCCTTACCAGTCCCCAAACCTTAAACGAACTGCCGCGCCCTACTCCCCCTCGCTGGTGCCTCAACACGTAAGTTGAAAAGCTTCAGCGTCTCCTCAGAGCCCTCCACAATCTGAGACCTAGTTCCCTTCCAGTGAGGATGCTCTGCCTGCTCTCAAACATGTCCTCTGACCTCTGAATTGCGGATGCACAGAAGGCCCCTTCTCTATCCATCAAAGCGCGGACCAACTTTTCAAGTTCAAACACACATGCTCCGGGAGACCTCCCTGGTCACCCCATCTGGCAGCAACGACAGCAAGTTCATTGGCTCTGTGAAAATGCTGTAATCCTTACCATTCACGTTGACTGACAGGTCTGTACAACAGCACTTTAAAAGAATAATAATCGCAGGGAGGTGGTTCCTAACAGGTGGTTTTGTCCTCCAGGAGACATTTTTGGTTGTCAAGACTAGGGACGGGGCTATAACTGGCAGTAGGTAGAGGTGAGGGAAGCTGCTAAACACCCTACACAGGACCGCTCCACCCAAAGAGCCACTTGGCCCCGAATGCTAACAGTGCCAGGGCCGAGCGCATGGGTATAGACCCCTGGCTTCGGAGTCAGAGGCGGGCTTCAATCCGGGTGGCCGTTCTTCACTAGCTGTGACCTCAAGCCATTACGTCACTGCCCCGGGCCAAGTATCCAAGTCTGTAAAATAATCCCTGTCTCGGAGGGTGGGGATTACATGAAACGCACATGGTTAACGCAGTGGCTGATGCAAATCACCTGTAGCTTCTATTGTACTGTTATACTGGGTGCGGATGCCAAATGTTACTTTTTCTGCTGGTCCCTTCAAGTGAAAAATGGAACTGAGCATGTGACACTAGTGGCCTGAGGACCTACCGTGGATCAAACGCTGTGTGGTCACTGCTTGAGTTACCCCCTTTCATTCTCGTTCTCAGTTTCACAGGAGTGTATTACTCCCACTGAGAAAGGGAGCTCAGAAAGGGTGTGTAACTTGTCCTAAGTCCAACAGTCCGTGGGAGAACTACGCTGTTTCTTAATTTAAGTAAAACCCTAAGACGTTCAGTGAACAGGGAAACCTCAGATCTGGTGACAAGGTCTGTACATATGAATGTCGTGGATCATTTCACATTTATAACAACCTCTAAGGAAGTCAGAGCCCTCTCAAAGCTTCCCTCCTCTGCACTTTGTCAGTGTCTGTGTTCAGACGACCTGTCCTTACCGGGACGCCTGCAATGATGCAGCTAACGCCCGCCTTCCTCCTTCCTAAGGTACGGGTCCACTTCGGTTGTGCCTCTGCTCAAAACCCCTTCAATGCCTCCCCTCCTCCCCACGGAATAACATCTCGACTGTGGGGCATTCAAGAGCTTCCATTTTCGGGGATCAGTGCAGCCTAGACTCTGCTCCTCCATCAAAACCAGTTTGCGCTCGCATCCTACAACGTGCCAGGCGATTTCCTGCCCAGGTCTCTGCTTTCACTGTCCCCTTTTCCTAACCCCGCTCTCTGCCATTCCTGACCCAAAGCCAGTCTCTCTACCCAGCGCCGGAAGGACACCCTCCATCTTTTATCTGCATCCCCTCGAGTAACTGGTGATGCTGGTCTCACCCTGCCTTGTGTTTCGGTCACTGGTGTCCACTCCTCACTGTTTCGGTGGTGCTTTCTCCCTTAAGGGTCTACATTTTTAATTTTTACGACACAGCATCCAGGAAGCCACCATGCATAAAAGTGCTAAAAATGACATGCTTTGTAAATGGCTAAGCCTTTCGGAAGTGACAAAAAAAACCGAATCTCTACTTCTTTGATGGCTGTTGCACGTACACTAACCAAAAACGAAGCAACAGAGTCTTAAACGTCCAGGTAACGCGCGAATACTTTCTCCGCGTCTTACGAAAACGGAAACACAGGCCGCCCAGACCGCTTGGCTGGAGAAGCGAGCGCGGCGCGGGCTCCCCGCCCGGGATTTAGAACCGCCGCACCCGGAGCCCCACACTGGGACTACAGGCGCATACACTGGCCTCTCCCGAGCTCTGGCAGTGGGTCTGCACACGGGCGGGGCCCCCCGGTCTTTCCCCGGCGCACATGGCAGAGCCGCGGCTAAGCTTGCGCAGGCGCAGAGCCACACAGGGTTCGGCCGTCTCCCCTCGTCCCACAGCCAGTGTGTCCCGGTCCCGTTACCTTGAGGGCCTCAAGCCCCATAAGACGAGACTTGCGGTCCTGATCCTTGATGATGAGGAAAGGGCGCCCATATTCATCGAAAGCGAGGGTCCCTACAGACGCCATGGTGCAGCAGCAGGGGTCTACTTTCTAACAACCGGCGGAGACCACTCCGGAACCGAGAACGCACCTTCCGCTCGGGGGAGGGCTCAAGCGCTCGCGCACGCGCAGTGAAAGCCGCGCGAGACTTAGTTTCCGCCTGAGACTAATTTGACGCCGGACAGTACCTTCTGGAATCCGCGGCCGTCGGAAACTTCTATCATACGAGAAGCTGTGGGGGGGAAGTGCGAAGACACGGGAGCTTTAGCACTCACAAGTCAAGAGCAGACCGAATTTAGTCACTTATTGAAGTTACACAATTGAGAGTTTCTGAAGAGTGAGTCCCAACGAGGCACTCATTTACTTGACTTTCTCCCTCCTTCCTACACCGACTCCGAGACGATGGTAGAACCCACTTCCGGGTCTCCCCCTTGCCGGAAATCTCGCGATGGAGGGAGGAGGAGGTGAGGCCGGTTGGGCATGGCGGGCTCCTGGGGCGCAGGCCTGGGCGCGGGTCGTGTCGGCGGTGGGCGGGATCCGTCGGGTGTACCGTGCTCGTGGCCACCGCGCCCCTCCGCCTTCGGGCCCTGCCCGGGTGCCCCGTCGTCAGGTCGCGGGTGCGCTTGCTGGTACTGGGGTCTAGCTGCCCAGAACTGTTGTGAGCGCTTTAGGGCGAATAATTCACGTAATCCCCGGCACAGTCTTATGTAGTATAGGCACTGGGAGTCACACTGCCTTGGTGGGAATCATAGCGCTGCCATTTACTAGCTGTGTCTTTGGGGCAGTGACTTAACTTCTTTGTGTCTCAGTTTCCTTGTCTGCAAAAATGACAATAAAGTATCTACCTTACACAGCAGCTGTGCGGATTCAGAGAGAACAGTGCCTGATAAAGAAATGCCCATTTTGCATAAATGGTCCAATATCTTGCCCAACGTTATACAGCTTGCGCTAAGGGTCCACCCGGAAGCCCTGTGTTGTGCTGCCTGGCAACCCTAACTAAGTGGTGCCCCGTCCTCGAAGTCCCTTACACTGCTTTTCCTCCGGAGCACTGATCACAACCTAGTATTTTATAGGCTATTTGTTACCGGTTTCCAGCCTCCCTGCACCCCAGCTGCCAAAGAACACAGACTTACCCCTTGTTGTATTCCTACTCTTTGTTTTGCTGCTTAAATATTCAAATTGACTAATGCGTTGTAACATTTAACCCTGGCCTGAAAGTCAAGAAGTGGCTCTGTCTCTGGTTGCTCCGTGATCATCTAGCTTCTGATGCTTGGCCCACTTCCCTTAAATTTAGAGTGATGATCCAGGGACATTTTAGATTTTGGAATCAGGTCTCAATTCACTTTGACTTGGCCAATTCAGTATTTCCTCATTCAAAATGGTGAATTCTGCAACCTCTTTGGCTTGTTAGATTGTTGCAAAGCATAGGAAATATCTAATGATGTTCCCCAAGCAGTTTATTTTTATTTCCTGTCATTTTTCCTAGTATTGATAGGTACTGTATATCAAAAGGACACAAGAAAGACCATTCCAAGAAAGGCTTCTTAAGGGGCCAAAAAATATGTTAAAGGGACATAAAATATATGCTGTAGTTTTTCTAGTGGTATGTGAATGCAAGTACACAATAGCCCTTAAATATTATGACATTTAAGTATAAATCCCACTTTGTTTTTGTTTAAAAATTATTTTTATTAAACTTATTAGGGGTAACACTGGTTAATAACAAATTACAGGTGTACAACATGATATGACATCTACAGAGGGTGCCAAAAAAATGAATACACATTTTATGAAAGGAGAAAACTGGATTAAAATTACGTTCGTGGTAACCACTTTGAGCACCTCTTGTAATTATAGAGGTCAAACAAATTCATCTTTTGTTATCGGTATATATAGAGTATTACAATTTTAATACAGTTTTTTTCTTTCTTAAAATGCGTATACATTTTTTTGGCACCCTCTGTATATACTCTGTGTGTGCTAACCACCCAGAGTCTGGTTTCCTTCTGTTACTATGGTCCCGTATTCTTGGGATTTATTATTATGTTTTCTTATTGTCTCCAGGGTACCTCATTGCCTTCTATTTGGCCTGTAATGAAACTCACATGTGGCATTGAACTTTTTTTTTTTTTTTAAAGATCTTTATTGGGGAATTGGGGGGATGGGAACAGTGCTGGGAAATTGGGGGAAGGGAAGCAGACATGTTGCTGTCGCCCTGCTCCTCAGTCTAGCCGTGGAGGACGTGGCCCCACTGGCCCAAGTTGGCACCACCACTGCGCTCCTCCCTGGCGAGGCAGCTCAGTCGCCGGCCTCTGGACGGCCGCCCACAGCGGCTGCTGGCTACATACAGTAGCCCATGGCAACCCACTGCCACAGGGGCTGCAGCCCACGCTGCCGTTGCAGACGACCCCAGCTCCAGGTTGAGGTGCCGTCCAGCAACCCAGCCGCGGAGGGCAGTGTCACCGGCCCTCACATGTGGGATCCGAACCGGGGCCCTCCGGCGCCCCAAACCAGTTCTCAACCATCGCACCACTCAGCCGGCCCGAACTTTTTTTTTTTTTAATGTAAATCCCACTTTAAACAAATGTGGCAGGTTATAATTCCAAACAGGCCTGTTCTTTCTTCTTGGCCTTTTTCCTTTGGCTTAAACTTGGATGAGAACCCTGTGTACTTTTTTGTACACCTCAGTCATTGCCTCTAGCTTTAGCTAGCCCAAATCTGTCCCTGAAAATTGAGATTTTCAACCATATCAGAAGTCAGTAGCTAAGCAAGCATGGAGACAACAGAAATTCGCCTCTTTGGGTCCTTTTTTTTTTAAGGATTCTTATTAAAAATATAGCTAACATACAGTATTGTATTAGTTTCAGGTGTGCACATAGTTCAACATTTTATACCTAAAGAAGTGATCCCTGTGATAAGTCCAGTAGCCATCTGACACCGTACGATGCTATCACGATATAATTGACTATATTTTTTATGCTCTATATTACATCCCCTTGATTTATTTGTGTTATACCTGGAAATTTAAACCTCTTATTCCCCTTCACCTCCTCCCCTTTTAATTTTTAATTGCAGTTGACATTCAGTGTTATTTTATATTAATTTCGGGTGTACAGCATAGTGGTTAGACATTTATATAATTTAAGAAGTGATCCCCCTGATGAGTCAAGGACCCACCTGGCACTGTATGTAGTTTTTACCATATTATTGACTATATTTCCTATGCTTTACATCCCCATGACTATTTTTTAACTACTAATTTATACTTCTTAATCCCATCCCCTTTTTCACCCAGTCCCCCAACTCCCCATCTATCACCCCAACAAATCTAGCACCCATCTGACACCATAAATAGTTATTACTATAATTACTGTGTCTGTTATGCTATACTGTATATCCCCATAACTACTTTGTAACAACCAATTTGTACTTTTTAATTTGTTCTTTTTCACCCACCCTCAACCCCACTCCCATCTGGCAACCAAAATATTCTCTGTATCTATGAGTTTGTCTCTGTTTTGTTTGTTCATTTTGTTCTTTACATTCCACATATAAGTGAAATCACATTGCATGTGTCTTTCTCTGTCTGACACTCCATTCAGCACAATACCCTCCAGCAGGAACACATTCCCTTATATTCCACAATATGTATATATACAATATATACATATTGTATATATGTACCACCTCCTCTTTATCCATTCATCCATCGACAGACACCCAGGCTGCCTCCACATCTTGGCCATTGTAAACAATGCTGCAGTGAACATATGGATGCACATGTCCCCTTGAAGTAGCGTTTTGGGTTTCTTCAGGTAAATACCCAGAAGTGGGATTATTGGGTTCCTCTCTGTCTGTTATAACCTTTGTTTTAAAGTCTATTTTGTCTGGTATAAGCATTGCTACTCCAGATTTTTCTTTTTTCATTTTCATGAAATACCTTTTTCCATCCCTTTACTTTTCATCTGTGTGTGTCTTTTGATCTGAACTGAGTCTCTTCAGGCAGCATATATAAAGGTTTTGTTATCCATTCATTCCTCCTGTCTTTTGATTGGAATATTTATATTTAATACATTTACATTGAAAGTAATTGTTGATAGATATGTAGTTATTGCCATTTTATTCACAATTTTTTTTTGTGTGAATTTTTTTCCATTTTCAAGAAGCCCCTCTAACATTTCTTGTAATACTTGTTTGGTGGTGATGTTTGGTAGCTTTTTCTTGTCTGGGAAGCTCATTATCTGTCCTTTGATTTTAAATATAGCCTTGCTGGGTAGAGAACTCTTAGTTGTAGGTCCTTGCTTTTCATCACGTTGAATATTTTGTGCCAATCCCTTCTGGTCTGCAAAGCTTCTGTTGAGAAATCAACTGACAATCTTATGGGAGCTCCCTTATAAGTTACTAGTTGCCTTTCTCTTGCTGCTTTTAGGATTCTCTCTTTGTCTTTAACCTTTGCCATTTGAATTATAATGTGTCTTGGTGTTGGCCTGTTTGGGTTCATCTTGTTTGAGACTCTCTGTGCTTCCTGGGCTTGTATGTCTGTTTCCTTCACCAGGTTAGGAAAGTTTTCAGTCATTATTTCTTCAGATAGGTTCTCAATCCCTTGCCTTCTCTTTTCTCCTTCTGGTCCCCCTATGATGCAAATGTTGTTAAGCTTGATGTTGTCCCAGAGGCCTCTTAAACTATCCTCATTTTTCTTGGATTCTTTTTTCTTTTTGCTGTTTTGACTGCTACCTTGTCTGCCAAATCACTGATTTTATCCCTGCTTCATCTAATTTGCTGGGGATTCCTTCTAGTACATTCTTCATTTTAGTTATTGTAGTCTTCATTTCTGACTGGTTCTTTTTTATGGTTTCTATATCCTCTTTTATGCTTGCTATCTCTTTGTTGAATTTTCACTAAGTTCCTTAAGCATTCTTACAACCAGTGTTTTGAACTCTGTATCTGGTAGGCTGCTTGCCTCCATTTCGTTTAGTTCTTTTCCTGGAGTTTTCTTCTGTTTTATTTGGGTTGTATTTCTTTGTTTCCTCATTTTGGCTGCTTCTCTCTGTTTGTTTCTATGTAGTTGGTAGATCTGCTATGTCTCCCAGTCTTGGCCGTGTGGCCTTCTGTAGTAGGTGCCCCATGGGGCCCTGGCACAGTCTCCCTGGTCACTTGTGCTGGGTGTTCCAGCAGTGTCCCTTGTGTGGGTTGTGTGTGCCCTCCGGTTATAGCCTTGATTGTTATTGGCACATCAGTGGGTGGGATTCACTCTCAGGCTGGTTGGCTGTGGGGTTTGGCCATGTCCACAGCTAACAGGCTGCTGTGTGGGGAACTTACCCCACTAGGTGGGATTCACCCCAGCAGGCTCTGTGCCTGTTGAGCTGCCCTTTGGGTGTGCCACTTGTGGGGCTAATTGGGCAGTGCTGTGCTGTGGTCTGAAGCCAACCTCCAAGTATGTTGGTTCTGGCACCTCTTGGGAGGGGCTCTGGAGCAGGCCCAGGTCACCCACTGCCTGTGACCTGCCGGGGACTATGTGGTAGGAGCTACAAAGCAATCCGTGGTTGTTCGCTGCCTGTGCTAAACCTGGAGGTGCATGTGAGAGGCCACACTGTGAACCGAGGATGTCTGCCACCAGTACTGGGCCTGGGGTAGCTCCGCACAAAGCCAGCACACCCCAAGGCCTGCTGCCACCTGCCAGCTCCCTTAAGGTTTATCCACTGATAAAGCCTCATGCAAGTTGGGTGAGGCAGGGTCTCAGGGAGTCACTGGAGTAGGAAGAGTTGTGGTCACCAGGTTAATGTAGACTCTGGTTTGTTGCCAGTGCTGAGCCTGGAGCTACTCAGCAAGTCTCAGAGCACACTGAGGCCAGTCCCCGCCTGCCTAAGGGCCCGTGGACTCCCAATAATTTTCCAAGAAAGAGTGCAATGTGGGTGGGGCTGGCTGCTGGCAGAGAAAGTGCCCCCAGCTTTGGGGAAGTTGGGTGGAGTGGGGTCCTAGTGAGTCAGCAGGGTGGGGCAGTGGATCTCACCAGGCCAATCAGATTCAGATTTGGCTGGAAGGTGAGGGCTTCCAGGAAAGATGGTGTCCACCTGCCAGCTACACAGGAGGAGGTCCCCACACAGGGAAAATGGTGACTGTCTTCTAGGCCACACTTTGAGGCCACACATCTCAGTTTGTCCCTCATATTGCCTCTGACACCCCCCCGAGTCACCATCCCACCAACGGAGCCCAGAGTAAGTGCCTGCAACTGAGTGAGTCTGAACATGTTCCAGTAAAAGGATAAAAGGATTAGAAATGTGTAGAAGCAGTCTTGAATTTAGTTTTGAATCTTCAGGGACTGGTTTTCGCTGATAAAAATCAATACTTTTTTATTGAAGGGAGGTAGCAATATAGTTATGTTGGATTTACATAGTAACTTCAGAAGCTCATACCAATTTTTGTGAAGTTGAAAGACTTGCAGGTATAAAGCTTTGTGACAGAAAATTCAGTGATGGCATCAAGGGACACACTGCAGCTGGTGCTGCTTTTCTTAAAAACACAAACATTGTAGTGATTTTGCTCAAAACAGCTTCGTCCCAGCGCACGAGAGTAAAATCCATGTTTAGCCTGGCATCACGGCCTCCGCCTCCCTTCCTGGTCTGTCTCCCTCTCTGCTCGGCAGATGGCTCCCCCGCCTCCTGTGCCTTAGTTCCAAGGCTTCCTTCTCTTGCCAGCACCTCACTCACAGCTCATATTCCGTCTGTCTGTCAACACCTTCCTGGCTCCATTGTTGGGCTCACCTTCCCTCCACCTACCCCTGTATTCCCACAGCGTTTTGTACACGTTGTAGCATTTCTCACCACTTGCTTTGTATCCGTCTCAAGTGGACCCTACCACACGCAGGTGAGAGGGGAGGCCCCGAAGACAGGCGCTTACTATTATATCTTGCTGGTTGAATTGAAGGGTACAGGTCTACACAGGTGAAATAGAATTTGGGTTGTCTGACCCGTGTTTGTGTCATCAGCTGTCTACCGGCTTATGCTGACGAGAGAAACTGCCCATTAATGGACAAATGGATAAACAAAATGTGGTCTATCCATACAATGGAATATTATTTGGCCATAAAAAGGAATAAAATGCTGATGCACGGCACAACATGGTTGAATGTTAAAAACATGCTGTGTGAAAGAGGCCAGTCACGCAAGACCACACACTGACCACTTTCATATGGTTTCACTCTTATGGAAGTCCAGACTAGGGACCCTCTGGAGACAGAAACTAGATGAGTGCTTGCTTAGAGCTAGGGAGTGAGGGGCGGTTAGGAGGCTGGTAACTAAAGGATAAGGGTTTCTTCTTGAGGTGATTGTTACACATATGTATGAATATACTAAAAACCTTTGAATTGTACACCATTAAAGGGGAAAATTATATGATATGTGAATTACATCTCAAGAAAGCTGTTAAAAATTATTGGTTCTCCCTGTCCCCCATATTATTGAGAATACTAGCAGCCAACTCACGTCTCTTTCAAGCCTGTGCTAAGGGCTTTATATGTATTATTTATCTAACTCCCAATAAGCCCATGAGGATGCGACAACTTACGGTTCTGAGATTCCAGAACTGTGGGACTCAAATCTTCTTAACCGCTGTGCTGCACAGTTGGAATGCCCACAGGATAATTTTATACAAGCCATGACATGTGCTGTGACTTTTTAAAAACTAATCAAATACATGACTGCTGCTATAGCTTATACGGTTTTCATACAATGCTGAAAAGTATAACAAAATGTATTTCAGATTCTTGCTTTCTATCGAATACCATCACCTTCCTAAACTTTAATTTTACCTCTAGCACCAGTGCCAGCAGTAGACCTGTTGTTTTTGTTTCTGAGTTGGTTTCCACTATGAACCAGTTTTAAACTTCAGCTTAGGGGACCTCAGGCATCAAAAGAAAAAAGCCATATTGAATGGGAGGTGTCGGTGGTTGGCCAGCTGCCCTGGAGAATGGGCTCTCTGGTATGGGCTAGCTTTGGGTGTATCCTGCGTTCACATCTGTGCCTTACAGAATTGTAACAGGTCACCCCATTTCATGGCTATGGTAGGTAGAATGATGACCACCCCCAAATAGGTCCACGTCCTAATTCCCAGAACCTGAGACTATGTTACATGAGGGGCTTTGCAGATGGGATGAAGTTAAGGACTTTGTGATGGGGAGATTACCCTGGCTTGTCTGGGTGGGCCCAGTGCAATCACAAGGGTCCACAGGAAAGGGAACACGGGCAGCCCCTAGGAGCCGGGAAAGGTGAGCAAACCTGTCGTTCCCTAGGGCCTCCGGAAGGAGAGGTGCTCCAGCCCATGTCCAACAGTTGACCTCCAGAGCTGTCCGATGGTAAACCTGTGTTTTAGCCACTAGGCTGGTCATTTCTTACAGCAGCAATGGGAAACTAATCCATTGGGTCTCTTCGGTGACTTACTAATTACTGAAACTATGAACACTGATGACTTCGGGTGACAAGAATCTTGTCCTCCCTCCTGTTGCCCTGGGTTCCTGTGTTTTCGGTCGTAGCTCCTGAGCTAGACAGGGAGCTGCTTCAGGACAGGATGGCCTTGTTCCCTGTGGGTTCCCACAGCCAGGCACCGCTCTGAGTGCTTTAGCTGCATCCACTCATTTCATCCTCACAAGACCTTGTGACCCCCCACTTTGCAGATGAGGAAAACGAGGTTCAGAGGTGGGGGTCACGCCCTTAGCAAGGTACGCGGCCTGGGTCCTAACTTCCGCAGGCTCGTGCTCCTGCCTGCAGTATTGTGTTGGTCATTAATCAATTTCTAAATTAATTTCAAATCAACTTCAATCTAAAAGACTCGAGATCTTATTAAGAATGTGTTTAAAGGACAAAACTCAAGAGGAGAATATTTAAGGTATTGTTCACTGCTGTAATCAGTGGCTGAAATTCTTTTGTTTTATCGTGTGCTTGTGATAACATTGAGATGATCGTTTTTTGTTCTTTCTGGACCTGCTTTAAAAATCTCTTTATTACCATACTTATTTAAGATTTTTAATAAAACATGAGTTTTGTCTCCTCCATTACTTTAAAATTTTGTTTGTGCGATGATTAGAGATGCCTAATTTTGACATAAAATCCTTTCCTCCTATTCGAAATAAGGTAGTAATTAGACATTTTCATGCTTATTTGTTTATGAGACTTTGTTCTGAACCATAAAAATATGGCGTTTATGGTTAACATTTGTACTAGTGGATATTGAATTCATAAAGTACCAAATAGTTATGAATACATTGTTTGCTAAGGTTCACTTCTGGAGACAACAAAAAAGAATGTTGGAAAGAAAACATTTTAGTTTTCCACTAAAACAATACTATTCAACTAATGCTATTTAGTGTCAAATAATTTTCTCTAAAATGCTTTAATTTAGTTCATGGAATTTAGGACTCATTGTGGAGTCCTAGATTTGTAATTTAAATTGTATTCAGCTAAATTATCCTTTAAAAAGCATGAGTTTGTTTTTCAATAAGAATAGTAGAAGAAAATGCTACCTTGATTTCAGATTTGATGTTGCATGCATTGGGTTGTCGGAAAAGTCATGACGTATTTTTTCTGTTTTTCGTTGCAATAATGCGTCCTGACTTTTCCGACGACCCAATATATTTTCTGCTTGCTCTTAATCTAGGCACAGCGCCGGGAACACTTAAAGAAGAAAGTCAGTCAGGATATGTTCTACCTACAAGTCTTGAAGCCAACGGTTTGAAGAAGAGCAGTTGGGGATTCTTAATTACTGGGGTTGTTGGTGGGACACTGGTGGCCGTGTATGCAGTGGCCACACCATTTATAACACCCGCCCTCCGAAAAATTTGTTTGCCTTTTGTACCTGCAACCACGAAGCAGATCGAAAATGTTGTGAAAATGCTGCGAAGCAGAAGAGGGCCGCTGGTGGACATTGGTAGTGGCGATGGACGGATTGTGAGTTTTGCTAAGACATTTTAAGGTTTGGAGCCAGAACTGTTAAAATTCTGTTTCATGTTTCTTAGGAGGCTTATGCAAAGATTTCTCCCTAAATCTGATGTTAATAAAGTAGTTGTTTAGTTTTGTGTGTGTTTGGCTGAACTATCAAACTCTCTAGCATGAGTTTGGCATGTATTTTTCTCAGATTTAATTATCTCTTAAAGGAAAAAGTGCTCTGCAGATATGCCAGGTAAAAGGAACAATTAATTGGTAATTTTGACACTGCCCGTTAAGAAAGTTGGGCCAATAGAGGTGGCGTATCTAGAAGAAACCTGTTAATCATCTTTTTTAACATTTGTCTATATTTACACGTGTATAATTCCCATGGGGTAATATAGAGTTAAAATAGGGGAGAGTTGGTGCATTATCCCCCACTTATCCAAAGGTCAGACTTTTAGTGACCTCAAAGCACTCTGACCCCAGCTGGGCTCCTGTAAGTAAAGAGTCAAGGTCACTGACTGGCAAACGGGTGACCCAGAGCATGTTCCTCCATGGGCAAGGTGACACCATCCTTAGCCCTCCAGCCAGCGATGAGCCGAAAAGTGAGGAGAGCTGTAGGCAAGGCTGGTGTTTGGGAAACATTTAATGTGAGAGCAGCAGGCCACAGGCCACCGGTGCCTGCAGACCTGGGCTTTGTGCTTCAATCTTGGTGACGTGGAATAATCAGAAGAGGTTTTACGAAGTGCCTTGTATTTATAAGAACTCAGGAGCTGAGTATATGAATCAGGAGGAAATCTTAAAGTCCAGGTTTGGATGCTTTACATATCCGAACGGTATCTTTGCGGTTTCTCAGAAAAGGGTCCTTTTTAAAAGAGGCGACACTATAGTTACTCGGGAAATTGCCTTGGGTGTGACAGCTCCTTCAGGGGTGCTCCTTGGAAGAGTGGTGGCAGGACCAAGTGAGCAGAGAGACCCCAGCACCAGCCCACCCTCCCTCTCACCTTAGGAGGTGGCATTCTGCAGTTGACTTAATTCTGACTTGTTCCATTTTACCTGCTTTCAGTTTTGAGTGAACAGTCTTAAATACTAAGGAGATATGTAATTAATTGCAGGTTCTTTGCTGACACGTTATTTTTATTGCCTGCTACAAACTAGCCCACAGTCCGTCCTCCCAGGCTCGTGCATGGAGCCTGCTGCTGTGCTGCCCTGATGGAGAGACACCATGGATTTTCAGCAACTTTTTGTCAGACCTACCCAGGGTTTGGCCAGTCCAGAATTAAGTACGCAGTCGTCCAAAGCAAACCGGATTACCCATACTGATGCGCGACGTGAAATCTTTGACAAAAACATGAAAACTGAGCTTAAATTGTCCAGCATTGTCCACAAAGCTACGGAACTTCAGACATTTATGTTCAAGTGGTGTCTTGAACAAAGGAGTTGCCTTTTGATTGGATGTTTTATGATTATAAATCATAAATAGGAAATATTTATATCATTTGACCATAGAAGTTGATGTTTTTCTTACCTTGAGTAAATGCTGGCCTCTTTCCACAGGTGATAGCAGCTGCAAAGGAAGGATTCACAGCTGTTGGTTATGAGTTAAACCCATGGCTGGTTTGGTACTCTAGATACCGTGCTTGGCGAGAAGGGGTGCAGGACTTGGCCAAATTTTATATTTCAGATTTGTGGAAGGTATGTAAGGCAGCGAGTGGTCCTTGGAAACTCCGGCCAAAACTTTATGATTCATAATTAGTCTGATTGAAACTGAAAAATGTATAAAAAGAAAAATAATTAAAATAACAAGTGTATATTTCAGCATAATGAAATGTGAACATCTTTTAAGTTGATAGATTTGCACATCAACTCAACACTAGAGTAGAAGCTTAAGGTTTACGACATGATAGGTCATGTGAGTTCCAATAATTTATTTGCTCACTTAAAGTCCTCATTTCTATTTATTACAAAATGATGAGATTTAAAAAAAATCCCATTTGGGAATCTTATATATTGTAATCTAGGCATTGTTAATGTCATTCTTGGTAAACTGTAGACACGTGTATGTGTGTGTGTGTGTGTGTGTGTGTGTGTGTGTGTTTAGAGAGAGGCAGAGACAGAAAGAATCCACCAACCATGCTGTCACAGTTCCTCCTGGTCTTCCTAAAATACAAAATACTTCCAAGTTTATTTGTACTCTTAAAAAAAATGCCCCGTAATTTTGCTTTAGGAATGCTCTGTAAAGTGCTTTCTCTTAAATAAGAATTTCCCACTGTAATGTTGTCATCAGTAGCTTATAAAAATTCACTTGAGTTTTGCCTGCATTTTTTTATGCCATACATACACAAACGATCTCTCTGTAGAGTAAATAAGACTTTTATTGGGCAATAAGAATTTTGACTGGCAAAGCACTTTTCCCCCCAGTTTTTCAACCAGAGACCATTTTATTGCTTTAAAACTTATTTTAGAGAAGAGGAGGGGGCTAGAATTTTAAGGATGGTTTGACATAAAAAACCAGGTAGTTTTGAGATCCCTTGAGTTCTTGCAAAGCTACTTGGGTGCAGAGTAGAGTAGAGTAGGAAAGTGGACCATGGGTAGTGATGGCCCACGGTCAACTGGCTCGACTGCCAGCTGGTCACTGGACAAGTATTGGCCTTTCTGTCAGATGGCCCCCGGGGCAGGTCCTGGGCGGGGTCGCTGTGGGGATGAAATGAGGAAACTGATGGATTGAACTAAGACAAGTGTGCACATGGTGTTTCTTTGTGAAATCTTAAAGGAGGCCGCTGTGTGAAAACTTACTATTTGGTGAACTGGAAAATTGCTACTCATTTTGAAACAAAAGTTAAGCTGGATGTTTGGCTTTAAAAAGTTAATCTGTGAATTGTTTCCCTCCCCCCCTTTAGGTTACTTTCTCGCAGTACTCAAACGTTGTTATTTTTGGGGTGCCTCAGATGGTGAGTATGCCCTCCCCTGTCCCCTGTCTGCTAGTTTTAGGGCATGGGGGCCCTTCCAGCTCCAACAGACCACCTCTGTGTGGCCTGCTCCCCACGTTCAAAATGCCGGAGGCCAAGAGATTCTGAGGCAGTGCTGGATTTCGGTTCATTGCTTAAACAAAATACTTCAGGGCCTTAGAAGTTTAATCGTAAAAGATTCAGCCATATTTTTAAGCTTTTGCTTCAGATAAAAAATCTCAATGATCTACCTAAGCCCTAAAAATTCCATTCTGAAAACTGCTTTACGAGCTCCCAGTGAGTCATATCGTTGGAGATTGTCACGGTCGCTCACTTCCATCCAGCTCACATCACTCGGGAAACTTAATGGGAACGTTCCCTTTGAATTGATCATCCCTCCGATTTTGCACTCAGATAATTTTCAGGGCGGATGAGCACTGACTAGCTTCAATTGACCTCAGATGACTGATTTGTACTGAACTTTGATTATGTACTTTCAAAAGTGAAAACACCGCACATTGCACTGAAAATGGTCCTAAATTTAGCCTTTGGAAAGATGGCCAGGAAGGGATGCTAGTCCTGTAATTGTTGGTTTTCAGACCGTGGAAAGAAATCCCTTTTCACTTTTCGAAGTCTGTAATTGCAACCATAATAATCTTGGAGAAACTGGATGTTTGCTGAAATGCCGCTATAAAACTGATACAGTTTTCAATTATAAAACAGGGAAATTTACTTTCTTGTTTTGTTTTCTTATTCATATCTTAATTTTTGTATAAGATGTTTTAGTGCTTGACATTTTTTTCTTACCATTGGAACCTTCAGTGTAATGTCATTTTCTTTTATTATTTTGAAGTCAATTTAGAAGTGTGTTTGTTACGTATTCTTGAAAGTGACAGGATTCTATATGTTCATAATTCTCTACAAGCATAAAATTAAGATGAAGCCTGGGTGTCTACACTGTCGTTACAGAAATGAAAAGAGGTAGAAAGGCATGGTCCTTGGCTATTCAAAAGTAAAACTATTTGGGATCATAGAATTGCTATGGTATTTGATGGTTATTTGCTACTTCTTATGATGTTTGGGCACTCCTTCAGAATAATTAGCATTTGGGGGCAAATAACTTTAATTTGAAATCTGTGCTTTCTGAAATTAGAAAGGTGATATTTAATGGGACTCCCACGCAGTGCTGAGATGCGGGCTGTGAAGCCACAGCAGCGCCGTCCCAGTGGGGGGCAGCAGTGGCCTTTCGTACGTAGTCTCTGTCACCGCGGAACCCAGCTCCTTGTTCCAGCTCCTTGTGCTTCTTATCATGTTTGAAGGATTGTCAGGTTTTGAGCTGTTCACTCAGGAGGAATAAGAGCCCTAGTTTTTGATCAACACGTGTGCAGTTATTGTCCATTCTTCTGCACAAAGAGAAATCTTAAATAAGGAACTTGTAGTATTCCACTGTTTCCAAGAAGAAGGGGAGCAGCTGACATGCAGGAAGCACCCACGTTCCCTGGAATGACAGGGATTCAGCCAACCCACAGTTTTCCACGCAGGTGGATCGATCACGGGTGCAGAGGGCCCAGTTTCATGTGTGGGAGCCTGCACTTTCCACCCTCACCAAGCTTCGCCTACGTGGAGGCCGTGGCTGGGGAGCCGGGGGCCAGGTCAGCCCTGCAAAGTCCTTTTCCCTGTCTGGGCCCCATCATTCAGTCTTTGGTGAAACTGCATTTCCCTCCCGTGAGCTCGCGGCTCAGCAAAGCCGTTGTGGCACGAAGTGTTGCACAGCGCAGCTGAAGCACGCACCTGTCATGAGAGCCAGGAGGGCGCCCAGCGGGCTTTGCACGAGGAAACCCAGGTGCTGTAAACCCTCAGCCTGCTTCTGATACCAGACTGGTTATTTCTAACAGCTCTGTGCAGACGTAGATCCAAGTCAGAGGTTCCCTAAGCATTTCGGCACTGGTGCATCTCACATGATAGGAATGAGGGTTCCCATTTGGACCTGGTGAGTCCAGTAGTGGAATCGTAAATACCCATGTTTAAGGACTCGCTCATGCACCAAGAGCATCTTTTCAAAATGGAGGACAGATCACTTGTGTCCCTGTTAACACCCTTCTGTGACTTCTTGCTGCTTTTAAGCAGCAAGGATAAGGCCCAAACCCTCCTGTGGCCCTGAGTCCTCAGCTCTGTGCACCAGCCCCCCCCCCCCCCCCCCCCCCCCCCGTCTGTCCCCTGGGCCCCTGGACTCACTGTGTGGGGCCGTGTCCTTCCCTCTGACTGCCATCTCCCAGCCCTGGGCTTTGTTAGTGCACAGCTACTGGCCCTTCATGGTCAAATGTCTTTCCTGTGAGAAGCCGTCCCTGGCACGTGAGGGAGCCACGGCGGCTTTGAGCAGAGGCGTGGAGGAACCCACCGGGCTAAAAAGGCTGCCCTGGGTAAGCCAAAAAGGAGTCAAGGGCGACGCCTGAGCACCTGGAGGTCAAGCTGGGAAAGGTGCAGGCGGAGTGCCGGGGAAGATCAGGACTTCGGGTGGCATGTGGTGTGGGTGATGTATGTGGGGTCGTGCAGTTGGCAGTGGTGGGTGCAGGGGCTCAGGCGGGAGGGCAGTGGGGGGTCAGGCTTTTAGGCATCAGTGCCCAGGGAGGGGGCAGAGCCATCCAAGGCCCAAGGCCTGGCCTCTGACAGATGAGGGGCACCCCGGAAAGGACTTGAGGAGGAGCTGGGGAGAAGGAAAGCCGGGGCTGGGTTCCTAGGAGCCAATGAGGCCAGTGCTTCAGGGAGGCGGGAGAGACGAGGCGGCTCGAAGCTGACGGCCGTGGCTCCTTTGTCTTCTGTGCCTCTGCGCTGGTTTCAACGTACGGGTAAGGTTTTGAAGATGTAATTAGAATATGATGAGTTCGTGTCACTTTGAAGCCTGTAATTGTGTGAATAAGTTTGAATTCCATTAGACAGACATGACATATCACTGCTTCCCTTTGTGTATGATATCAAGACCCAGATTTGTTGCATATTTATGTGTAATTTAGTCAGTTAATTTCTTATGATTGAAATAGCTCCTTTTCATTTTTAGGTTTATCTTGACTTAGCATATGACAGTCATTGGAAATAAAAGAAACTAAAAGAGAAAAGAATAATGGTAATGTGAATACGTTTACAATTATCCTTTTTATGAACACAATTACCATAAGAAATCCTTGATATTTTGGAAAAACACATATTGTCTCATTGTTTGCTTATTTAACTTTCCCTCCATGGAACAAAACATTTTCTTTTTTAGTCATCTTTTCCTGGATGTTAAAAGAATGGAAATGTTCTATCCTTAATGGAATTTACTCTTTGTTATCTTGGTATTGATTCTACTGAAGAATTAGAATTTTGGCTCACTCTATCCATAGGTCACGTAGAGGAGTTTTTCCAAGCCACGTTTTAAAGGGATAAAATCTTCATAAAAGTACTGTTGACTTGTTTGTCTTGGCTTACTTTGGGACTTTTAAAGGGAGTAGTTTTTGCTCAGATCTTGTTTTTAAAATGTCATTTCCCACTCAGAGGAACCAGGAAAGTCTGAGAAATGGCTGATCCCAGGGCTGAGGAAGGGAAGATACAAAAGTCTTGAATGTTTTATTGAGGCCAAATGTAAGGAAGTGCTCATAATATTTGACAGGGACACATCCAAAAGAAAGAAGCCCGTACGGCGTTGGTGGTATAGTGGTGAGCATAGCTGCCTTCCAAAAGAAAGAAGCCCGCTTGAAGAGGCTCCCATGTCCCAACTGGGACAATTTGAGCATTGGAATAAATGGAACAGTAGAGTATTATCACCGATAAAACGAAATAAGAACCTAGGAGTTCATCCTTACAGTGATAGCTAGCCAGGTAGGTAGAGAGACGGGAAAGCCCTTCCTTGCAGTGGAATATAGAATTCCATCTAGGAGAAACGATGGAATTAGCAAATCCACACTTTGCAACCATTACGGTAAAAATTGACCCGGGCCAAAATCATCAGTGAATGCTTCATCTAGTGGGAGGACAGTTTGATGAGTAACAGGACGTGTACATCCTCTCAAGGTAGTTCCTCACAAATTATTCATTATAAAGGAAAAATAGTGACCACACTGTGAAGATCCAGATATGTGCACACCTTAAACCAGTGGTGACCATCACCCCAAAGCAGGAAGACCCCATGGGCGTCTGATTGTGGGGCCCTGGGATGGTCACAGCGCCACTTAGGGGTCATTGCTAAAGACCCACATATTGAGTCATTTTGAGTAAACATCAGAAGAAACCCAGGTGGGGACCATTTGGAAAAATAGTTGTTCTGTATCCTTGAAGGATGTTATTGTCATGGTGACAGAGGTGGAAGAACTGATCCAGATTAAAGGATAGGAAACATTACAGCTAAATATAATATAGGATCCTGGACTTGGGGAAAATGTTATGAAGGATGTTACAGGGACGTTGACAAAATTGGAATGTTACTACTAGAATCATTTTGTTAGAATATAATGTTAAATTTCCTGAATGTGGTAACTGCTGGGGCTGTTTCTTAGAAAACATTTTCTTAGAAAACACTGACATATCAAGGAATAAAGGAGCATGTTTGTGTTGAACCTGTTCTCAAATTAGAAAATAAATGTTCATAGAGGGGAAGAGGGCATATCGGATGAAGCAAATATGACAAAAATTGGTGAACTTGGATAAAGGTTTATAGGAGTTGCTTGTTCTAATCTTGCAACTTTTCTGTAAATTTGAAACGTTTCAAAATAACAAAAGAAGAGAGCAAAAAAATTTTCTCAGAGGTGAAAGGGGTAATATATTTTTAGGACATGGAGATAAATTTTTAAATGATTGTTAATTTGCTGATATAATTACAATGTCAATACTTTTAGCAAACAATAAAATGCTTTCTTCACAGGTAATAAAATGACACAAAAGTGATAAGAGGATTTTACTTTTTATAAGTTAGGTTGACAAGTGTCAATATGTTATAGATACATTTTTTTAAAAGTATGAAATATTATATTTCAAGTTGGTACAATGTGTATATTTTTTCACAGTCTAATTATTTCATTTCATTGACTCTAGATGCTATTGACTTTAAGATACACCTTTGCTGTTGAGAAAGAAAAAAAATATTACCAATTATGATTCTAAGACTATGTCAATTGTGAGATGTCAGAGTTGTTAAAAATGTGGAAAAATATGTGTTAAATAGTTGAGACAGAGTAGATTGAAATACTTAGGTAGGTAAATAATTTCAATCTTCTCATTTTAATTTTTGCCGCATCATAATTTTAGTTAGAAAACCAGAAATCTGTGATACACATCTGCAAAAAAATGGCGTATTTCATGATTGATACTAAAAAATGTTCCTATCACTGTTAATAGCTTTGTGTTTTAATGGCTTATTTGATAAGGACTCATGCCCCGAGGTGATCTTTTTTACAGTTAGTCATTTTTGCACAGGTATTTCCAGGGACTCAAATACAGAAGGGCATGTGGGAGTTGTTTCCTCTGACTCACCACTCACTGTAATAATGGCCGTCATTCTCCATAGATGCCGCAACTGGAGAAGAAACTTGAGCTTGAACTTGAGGTTGATGCGAGAGTCATTGCTTGCCGGTTCCCTTTCCCGCACTGGACCCCGGACCAGGTCACCGGAGAGGGCACAGACACCGTGTGGGCATATGACGTGAGCTCGTTCAGAGGACAGGAGAAGCGTCGATGCATTTCTAGGCGGTCGCTGAAACGTAACATTTACTGAGAGTGTTTTTCTGAAGTGTCGGTGGTCTTTGATTTCACAGACGTACAGCTATGTGTTCAGCAGAGTATAGTTTTGTTTGGTGTAGAATGAGAAATTACTATTTCCCTAACTTTTAGAGGAAACAAACAGAAGTTAAGAACAGCAAGGAGATTTAAAGTCTCCTTTTATGGTATATTCTAAAAAAATGTGCTCGCAGCTTTTTATGCATTTGGATGTATGAAAATACAAATAAGCGATGGTCACATTGGTGGGTGGGAAGATGACAACAGCACTTCCCCTTACCAGGATATGATTTAGTGCCGCAGGTGAGAGGAAACAGTTTTGAAGACGGTGTATGTTATTGGGTTGTTGGAAAAGTAATGACGCATTTTTGCAACGAAAAAATAGAAAAAAATACATTATGACTTTTCTGACAACCCAGCAGTAAATGTTTGCAGTTTCTTATAACTTCATTCATATGTAAGGTTTACCTCTTACTTCTCTGAACTTCATGACAAAATTAATTTTCTAAAGGATTTAGAGAGGCATTTATATTTCATAATATTTACTAGGAATAATTTGTTCCAAGGCTGGTAGATTACCGTATTTTATCGAATCTAAGGTGTGTGTACATACACATTTTCACATTTCGGAAATTGTGATGTACCTTCCAGCTGATGGTGTTTAATAGCTGTAATGGGCAGTGTTGTTCATCATCACTACCATTGATGGGATCTCAGATTTGATAAAATAGGGTATTCAGAGTAGATACCTGGCAGCGGAGTGGTTGGTGATGGTTAAATAGTGAAATAAATGATTGTGAGCTTTGGCGTAAGCCAGACCTGGGTTCGGATCCCTCCTGGGTCCTCAGCAGGAGGCCTTGGCTGGGGATTCCCTTCTCAGAGCCTTGGTTTCCCCAGTTTCCCTGCCGTTGGGATAATGAGACACTGAACTGGGGACTGGGCACTGATTTGTAAACTCACCGCATGTAGTCTTCAGTCTGTAAGTAGCATTTGTTACTGTAGATGCTAATGGAAAGCTTATTCACAGAGGTTGCACATTGTTTCTGCTAGTCACTTATTTATTTTATGAAAGCAGCCATTTATTGAATATTTCTCATTTATGAGAAGAGACTTGACCGATTTAGATAAAGACAAGTTAAGGAAAATCTTTGAATGTGAGTAGACAGGCTTCATATATCTGAAAAATTAATATTGAAGTGTGGCTCAAATAATCCCTGCTTATCACAGAAAAGAATTGAACTTCCAGCCTTGTAACCTAAATACCAACTGCTGTAGAGATCTGATAAGGTGAGATGGTTTGCATCTTTTACTAAACTGATAAAAACATGACTCTCTTCTACATGAACTGTGTTCACCATTGCTAGGCGGTGGTGTACCCCATGACAAAACAGAATCGAAAAAGCGCCAGATTCCTGACATTTAAACCACACGGCCGGGCACTACTCCCCTGCCGTGGACTTTCTCTATGGCTGATGGCATGAAAGCCCTGCTGTGAAGAAATTAATGTTCCCAAGTCCAGGAGTCTTCTAAGCTCGCACTGCGGCCTGAATTTCCTAGCTTAGCCTGGCTGAGTGCATGTCAGGAAAAGACCTCTCAGTCGCTGCCCAGTATGCCATGGGAGTCTACCTAGGTCTCAGCAAACACAGGAAGCACACGCCCTGGGTGTGCAGCATGTCTTGTTGCCCATTGGGGCCACACTGTGCCCAGCCCTTCATAAGTCTGAGTCATTGGGCCATGGCGAGCGTTCCTCACCTGGCCTAGGCAGCAGGTCTGTAGGCTTCTGACTCAGGCCACCTGTCCCAGAGTGGGGGCGCCAGCGGGCCCACCAAAGGAGGTGTGCAGACACCGCTTGCTCCTACCCAGCAGCCATTGCTTCTCTTAGTAACAGAACCCCCGGTTTTTCAGGTGTCACGCACCGAGGTGTTCAGGGATGAGGGGCCCTGCAGTTGTCTGGTCCCATCCCCTGGGCATCGGTGGGATGGGGTGGGGGGCACGTGCTCCAGCTCCTGCCAGTGAGGTTGAGGGACGTCTGCTGGGAGCTGCGGGAAAGGTTTGGTTGCTGATATGATAGAAGGAGATGCCCGTCCTCAGACCGCATAGGGCAGTGACACCTGACATTTCAGCAGCTGCTTTCCAACCACCGGGGGGAAGGTGAAGATGAAGTCCAAGGTGCTGGAGCTGGTGGAGCACAAAGAAGGAAAGACTGGGTCTCTGACTGGAGCCTGACTTCAAGATATCTTGTTAAGTGAAGTAATAAACCAATGTTGCTTTTAAGCTGCTTTGACTCGGGTGTTGTGTTATTGTGGGAGGCAGCAGCCCATTGGAGGCAGGAGGGTGTGAGGCTGAACTGGGCGAGAGAGCCCCATTGTGGGACAGCGGGGGCCTGTGAGCCCACGTTCCTTGTCTGGAGAGCACTGGAGGAGACAGCACTCATTGGCCAGGTCGGGAGGTGTCACGTGTGTGAGGGACGGAGAGTTCCCAGGTTGGGGAGCCCCACTCTCAGACTCAGAGTAGCCCCCATAGCAGTGTCTGGGGACTTGTACCAAGTCAGGAAGGCTATGAACTTGGACCTGGCCCTCACAGCCCACATGACTTATCCTAGGAGAGCATCCTGTTTTGGGAACGTGGGCAGGAGTAAGGAACTGCAGAGCCTTGGCATATCCCTGCACCCAGGGAGTTTTATCGGGGAAGAGAGGGTTCCTCAGGAGTAGAAAGCAATTAGGAAAAGGAAGGGAAGCAATTGCCTTCAGACTGCCTTCTCCGCAGGCAGGGTTGCCAAGCACAGGAGCTGTGTTGTGGATTGCACGTTTGTGTCCCCCCAAACTTGTATGTTGAAATCCTAACCTTCAGTTTGAAGGTATCAGGAGGTGGGGGTCTTTGGGTGATTAGGTCATGAGAACAGAGCCCTTATCAATAGGATTAGTGCCCTGATAAAGCGACCCCAGAGAGCTCCCTCGCCCCTTCTGCCAGATGACATACGGAGAAGACGGTTATTTATGGATCAGGAAGTGGGGTCTCACCACACTGAATCTGCCGGCACCTTGACCTTGGACTTCTCAGCCTCCAGACTGTGAGAAATGAGTGTTGTTTAAACCCCCCAGTCTGTGGTGTTCTGTTAGAGCAGCTGAGCTGCCTGACAGGCTGGTGACGGAGACGAGCCACACCCAACTCTCCCCAGACTTGTTCTGACTCTAGCCCGCTGTTCCTTAGCCCTGCCGAGGACAGGCAGTGGAAGGGGGCCAGGCTTCAAGAGCGTCCTCCCATGTGCCGGCTGGGCAGGGGCGGGTGCCATCTGTGGTCAGGCGGGTTGGCACCATCTCGTAAGAGGAGGCTTTTCTGGGAGGGTCTCCTCTGGGCCTCCCCCTCCTGGTTCACATGGAGGATGCTTTTAGCATGGTTTGTCCCGAAACAAACATGGATATAAAACACTACAAATAGAATAAGCCGCGTTGATAAACAGAAATGAATTCTAGATGGTGAAAGGTCTTGAAAACATACCCTAAGAGGCACAGTTAAAGAGGTTGTGGGTGTTCCCTGGACAAGAGATGGTTTGGAGGAGACAGGACAGATGTTCCCCAGGGGTTAAGGGCTGCCAAGCAGCGGGAAAAAGGGAGGTGACTGTGAACGTGACCATGTGCCAGGGGGTTCCATGCACTGGAGATCCCCCATGCGCATCCTCAGGGAGGAGGCACCGTCTTCATTTTCTTTTTCTTTTTTAACCAAGGGGCGTCATTGTTAGCTCACTCAGTCACCCCGACACAGGAGCATAGCATCTTACTACACTCACTGGCTTCCCTGCATAGACCTGCTCCTGGGTGTAAGCTTGGTCATCGGGTGGGAGCTGAAGGCACCTGACGTTTAAGCTGTGTCTGAAGTGCAGCCTTATAAAGTCATTTAAAGTTAGAATGCGTTGTGTCCGGATACGGCGAGCAGAGGCTGGGCAGCCACTTGGTGGGGCTATTGTAGAAGGAATCCACCTGCAAGCAGGTGTGTAGTCCTCAAATGACCCAAAGTGGCCGAGAGCTTTGCAGCCTTAGCAGAGCTGCCTGCATCCTTCTGGCCGACCTCTGTGCATCTGTGAGGCATCAAAGCCATCTTCAGCAGGGAAGTGTCCAAGTCCAACAGGACTTAGCTTCCCCCGAAGATGAGGAGGCTGCGGCAACTTTTGGCTCTGATATTGCAAAACAAATACTGGCACACCTTGTTTTTTTTTTTTTTAAGATTTTTATTGGAGAATTGGGGGGATGGGAACAGCGCTGGGGAATTGGGGGAAGGGGAACAGACAAGATGCTGTCGTTTTGTTCTTCAGTCTAGTTGTGGAGGACGTTGCTTCACTGGCCCAAGTTGGCACCATCATTGCGCTCTTCCCGGGCGAGGCAGATCAGTCGCCGGCTTCTGGACGGCTGCTCACTGCGGCTGCTGGCCGCTCACGCTGGCTGCTGGCTACACACGGTAGCCCATGGCAACCCACTGCCACAGGGGCTGCAGCCTATGCCGTTGCCGTCCACTCACAGCAGCCCAGCTCTAGGTCGAACTGTTGTTCACCACTCTAACTGTAGAGGGCAGTGTCACTGGCCCTCATATGTGGGATCCGAACCGGGGCCCTCTGGCGTTCCAAGCCAGCTCTTAACCAACGAGCCACTCAGCCAGCCCTGGCACACCTTGTTTTATTGTACTTCCCAGATGTGGTTTTTACAGATTGAAGGCAAGACCCTCCACCAGTAGGAAAATGACCACTCGCCTTATTACGGTGTCTGGAACCCATCCCGCAATATCTCTGAGGTGTGCCTGCAGTTCAGATATTGGGGAAGCTGATGAGTGAAGACAGCTGTATGGGAGCCCCAGCGGAGAAGAGCGAATGTTTGGAGGAGAAAGTAGGAATCTATAAAATCCCAGAGGGCTTGGCTAGAAAGAGCACAGTGTGTGTGTCCCCAAGTACTGATTAGAACAGGGACTGTTCTTGAAGCCCCTGGGAGAAATTTATCACTAACAGTGCCTTGTCCCTTTCGAAGTGACACTGCCCCACCCATAACCTTGTCAGGGGAGCCGCCTTATGCGGACCCCACACCCTGATCCTTCACCAGTTGATGGGACCAGGGCCGGGCTCCTGAGCCAAAGGCAGGGCGTAGAGATGAGATGAACTACGCTGAGTTTATGCTGAGAATTGAAGTTGGGAACAGAAAGATTGGGGACCGCTAGGTGGAAGTTAAGGTCATGGAGCTGAAGCCAGAGGAGCTTGGAGTGCTGAGAGACGAGAACTCTCTGGGCCAAGGGCTCGGTCCAGATAACAGGCCAGCCCCGAGGGGTAGGACCCTGCCCAGGGCCCGCCCCACCCACTGCCAGTGGGGCCAAAGGGCCGAGGTGGCAGGAGCAGATCTGTCACTGTCTCTAGGGCATCTCAGCCTGCCTCCACGTCACATTTGGTTGAGTGATGTGCTCTTTGAAGAACTCCATTTAGGAAATAGGTTATTTTATGACAAAATACTACTTGTAAAGGTTTTAAGCACAAGGAACTTATTATCCCCAAAGATGGTGCAGGCCATATGTTTAAATGGAAAAATGCATATTTATATAAATGTAAGGAAATCTCCATCTACACAACACAATGAAGCTTAGTCATCTGGGATTCTCTTAGGCGGGACCCTTCTTTAGTGTGAAGTGTTCCTGTAATATTGGAATCGGCACACTTGTGACCTAATGGACAGATGCAAATTGAACATGAACAAAAAGAAATCACATAACTTTTATAAGTGAGGGAAATTCGATGTCTTATTTTTTCTAATTTAATAATATGGTGTGAGCCTTATCCAAGGAGTGCTGATAAAATGATAGCTCATTGATCACTGGGTTTAATTTAAGGACCGGGGAGAGGCATCAAGTTAGTTTTCTTTTCTGTAGTATTGTAGGATGAAAAATTGGGCAGCAAAATTATTTTTTATAAGAATGAATACCAGAGTCAGAATAGGTTACCAAAACTCAATGCGTATCCCAGACTTGGTGGGTACATTCGTGTAGGGAGGCCCTACAGGGTCTACTGTAAAGATAGCTGTGCAGCGTTGTTTGTGGGGAATGTGACAGTGGAACAAGAGACAAGTTATTAGCCTGAGTGCCCACAGAGCATCGCGTGCAGTCAGCAAAGTTGTAAGGTAGGTGAATCTCCTACAGTTTCCGCCATCTCCCCTTTGTGGTCCCCCTACACCTACCTGTCCCACGCACTTACCCTCTGTCATTTGTGACGTGGCCTTTCCCCCACATGTCCACTCATCTTTGATTTAAAGAATTACATTATGTATTGCTATTTTCAAGGACATTTGCATTTCTTTAAAGGAATGCTGTAATATGAATTTTAGTGAGACTGAAAGATGGATTTGTAATGGAGGAATCTCAGATTGCTTGCCTCTACCTGCTCCTTACCCCAGTCCAGACTACCCACCTGGCATATCTGTGACAGCTCAGAAAGGCAAACTGTGGTCACCATAGTTTCTCTTGATCTGAAAATGTTAATTATGAATAGAAATTCATAGTCCAGAAACGACGAGAATAAGGCTGGCTTTCATGTATTGACTGTCATGTCGAAGGTTGTTTACATACGTTGTTTTTAATTCTTAGATTAGTTCTGCTTTTTAGATGTGCTGTTTCTCAGTTGGGTAAACTGAGGCATTTAGAGAGTAATTTGTTTGCTGAAGCTCATTCACTGATTAGCAAGTCGTGGAGCTTGTGTATAAACCCAGGCCTGCCTGATAGTAACGCCGGTGTCCTTTTCTCCCTTTCCCTACCTGGCTGGGTGTGGGGAAGGCTCTCCTCCAGAATTGATCCCATCTCCCCAGTTTGTGGGGGTATTAGCAACATCTGGATAACTCTGAAGCTTGGGTCCCATGTCTCTTTGAATCAGAATAGCTCTTTTTTCATAGGCATAGAATGGTCCTTGAGTTAGAAGCATAAGACTGAGAGAAGGGTAGAGCAGCACTTTTTCCAGAATTTTGTTCTGCCCACTCAGAAACAGATCGATGAAATAGTGTACCCTCAAAAGCAGAACTGAATTGCCACCAGCCTTTTTAGGTCTACCCTACCTAAGGGTAGGTTAGTGCGAACGTATCCCCTATCTTGGAAAATGAACAATTTGTGAAAGTACTTATCTGGATTAGTTTACTCTGGCTGCCATCACACATTACTACAGACTGGCAGCTTAAATAACAGAATTTATGTCTTATAGCCTGGAGGCTGGAAGTTCACGATCAAGGTGTCAGCAG